TTGCACACAGTGCATCAATGGATATATAATGTCCACATGTATACATCAGAAGCCATGCAGCACAGTAATGAAACAGAATGTTTCTATGACGCTTTTGATTTCCCATACCAGTCACGATAAACATTGCACGAATATTTTGAACAAGCTTCTAGAGGCATGGCACCAAAAACACAAAATTTTAAATGGATGCTTTGTGTGGTTTTGTGTGCACAGCCAGTATAAAAGGCCACAATGAGTAACACAAGGGTGCCCTGCACACATTTCTGTTTTAAATGTGCCTCATATAGCTGTGTGCTCATTTAGAAAAAAACAGAAAACTGCACAGTGATACATTTCACCACTGTGGTTTTGCAGTGATCGTTGCAACCCTATGCACAACGTTTTCATGTTTCATTGCCTTTTTGACTGAAGCAAAGCAGTGGTACCGTGAGATGGATTGAGAGTGGGTCTGCCTTGCCAGAAATAGGTTCTTGATCTTCAAGATCAGCAAGAGTGCCCATTGCCATAGGATATCTGCAGGACAAATGGTAAAAGAGCATATACTGAGCAGACGTTGCTACACAGAAATAAAACATATTGCTAACTTTACTTAATGCAAATATGTACATAAGCTCTGCATTGCAAGTAAAAACTCCAAAACACAAAAAATTGTGTTGACATATTTTATGTAGAACCAATGTAGAAATTTCAATTTAAGCTAGTGCTTTTTTTCAGTGTAGGCTTTAAAAATGATCATGGACTAATCCTGCTACACGTACTGACATAATGGTTACATTCGCATAAAGAACTTATGTGATGCACCTCTCTAAGTCTCCTCGTTCATACAGCAACCAAAGCAGCCTCTGCAACAGAAAAAAAGTTTTTCAGAACTCAAACTGTACTCTTTGGGTTCTTCAGAAATATCACTTGTTGTCCAGTAACCAGCATCTAATAATAGGTCACCTGCTGAAGCTGCAGCAGCTCACTACTGTCCGTGTGCAGATCTAAAGATGGGTTGATGGCACAAACCATAAACGCTACCTCCATATTACGGTTGCACTTCATGTAAGAGCCTTTTAAATACAGCCAGCTCTATAAAGAGAGACACAGAATAGGAACAGATGGGGACAAAAGAGTTCATTATAAAATTAATAGGTGGCGCTTTCCTTGTCATACAATTTCTCTTAACTCGTTAGCTAGTAAGATCCTAGCTAACTAAAATTTTATTTTATAACATTTTACATTACTCAATAAATGCCTTTTCCCAAGAACCAGCTAAAAGTCTCAGACAAGGATAAATTAATGCTCTCACCCTCTCATTGACTCCAGCAGTGACAGTTTGGCCTCTCCTGTCTTCATTGCCCTTGCCGTGCCATGTGACCTCAGCTGTCTCCTCACCCCCTTTGCCGAAGATCACCCAGGCGTGGTCCTCAGACAGTGCCAGGTGAACATCTTTTAGTCCCAGAACCTGACATGCAGCTACAACTGCAAATGCCACGCCAGAGCTGTCCAACTTTGTGCCTGAGCAAAAACAAAAACACAGATCAGGAATACAACTGTTAGTGCAAATATACAATAACTAGCTTGATAGAAGTCATATTCAATAAAGTCATGCTAAGAACATTGTGTGGCAATGGCTATCAATTCAAACATCAAAGGCTGTTCACACACCATAAAAGTCCCTGTGATTCATTTGATGAGTGGCCTTATTACTACACTGAAAGGCTGAACAGTGACTGTGCACAATTAAAAGAAATTCATTTAAGTTGTAGTCTGTGGTAAGTATGTAGTAGCAAAGACCAAGCATATGATTTTTACACGATTACATGTGTTCTCACACTGCACATCACTGAGAGCTTTCTTTCCATACTATACAATCCCCACCTGTGATGAGACTGAAGAGAGACTGAATGTGGGCTCTGTCTTTAAAGTACGATCGGCTCAGGCTGTTCCAGATTACATCTGAGACCTTCTTCACCAGCTCCCGGCTTGAACCACCTGCAGGCTTGCGGTACACAGACAGGTCCACTGCACCGCGGATCTGTGCTGTGAAGCGTTCATGCAGTGCAGATATTAATCCTAGCTCTACAGTGGGGAAGCAGGAGTTGAGACAGTCTCCTTTTAGAGGTTCAAAGCGCACTCCTGGCACATTAATGGGTACCACCCGGTTGACAGCCAGAAAGTGCTCCACAAAGCCCAGGACCAGAGACAGGAGGGCCAAGTCTGGCTCAGCGTTCGCCAGCTCCGCCTCAAAGAGCTGCACGACTCCATCGATGCCTCTGAGGGGAAAGTGCTTCTTCTGAGCTGACCGGAGCCCCATGTTCAGGTACTGAAGTTCAGGAATGGACTTCTGTAACAACCTAAGGCAAACAGACAAAGCATGTTTAACTTGAACACTGCACCTGGTTTTATTCTTGGGAGGTCTGACTTTCAAATGATTATGGCATGATCTTAGCAGCAGTGACTCTGACCAGCAGTGGAAGGTGACAACTGAACATGCTCATCCAAGCAGGTTACCTAAAACATCAAGACTAACTGGATTTAACCAGCAACATTTAGATCCTCATTAGTGACCACTGATAAAGATGAGGAAAGGGCGGAGTTCACCGGCTACATTCCTACCTATCAAGTAGCTGTTAATAAATGTTACAGCTTTTACGGCCTCTTAGACGATCAATATTGCCCAAACACTTGACCTAATTTTGCTGACTAACGTTAACATTAAATTCTGTGTAAACTAGTCTGGCGTTCAAGTTTGCTAACTAGCTAATCCAATCCTATCTCAGCAAAAGTTGACCAAAAGGCAAACCTCACAAAACTATAGGTAGATTATAGCACTGTTTTCAGATATTCTGGCATAGTTTCGAAACTAGATGATATAGGGAATAATCTAGAAACTGTTAGCCGACTCCTAGCTAACCAGATTAGCTTTCTCGTGTTCTGTGCACATGCATTAACCTAGCAACGGCAACAATTCAACATTAACTAGCCAATTCTTATCTCTATTAGGTAAATATGACAAGGTGGAATATTTAATCAGCTTTATAATTCTTATTTTAGCTTGTATTCCTGTCAAAATTGTATCAGACACACACCTTTGTTGGAAGATTATGTCCACATGCTTTTGTTTTGCTCCTCGCGTTTGCCGCGCAGCAGAGGGACTCTACCCTGCACAAACATCAGAGCGCTAAACGATCTCCTCACACAGGAGCTCCGCCTCACAGAGCACAGCTCAGCCCATCCGTACCTTCTGCAGATCACTCGGACCGAGCAGCCTGCGGAAGGAAGAGCGATGTGATTCCTGTGCAAACAATGCAGTTTGGGAAATGTAGTACTGTAGAATCGGGGCGGACTCCTACGGAAGTCCAGGGAGGCCATGGGATAGCTATGATTTCTGAACTGTTGTTTTGAGATCATTACTTAATTGTCTTGTGATTTCAAGATAACAAATGTTGTTTTTCGAGATCACAACTTAATTGTCTTGTGATCTGCACATAAAAAAAAATTCAAGATAACTTGATCTTGACAATTTTGAGATCACAAAAAATGAGCTATGATATCCAGAAAACATGATTTATCTTTAGATCACAAGACAATTAAGTCATGATCACAGGGGAAAAAAAACTTTTTGTTATCTTGAGATCACAAGACAATTATGTTTAACAGTACAGAAAATCATAAATACCTCGTGGCCTCTGGATTCCCGCAGGACTCTGTCACTTTGGACTGTATTGGCTATTTTAGATTAAGCTTTGCCACAATACGATACGATTTCGATCTGTAACAAGAAAACATTCGACAGGTACTAAAGATACGATGTGCTGGAATTCCCCTCAGTAACACACCATCAAAATGACCTCAACATCAAACAATTACACTAATAATAATAAAACTAACAATTAAATATACAGTCAGCTTGGCAGTAAACTGCTCTGCTTGAATGGTCATCTCTGTTATCTTTCAGTTTTAACCACAGAAATGGTGCGCCATTTTTTATTTTTTATTATTATTTGTTTTTTTTGTTTTTTGTTTTTTTTGCAGAGCTCTAAAACAAATTTTAGATTTATTGTTTTAATTAATAAATAAATAAACATATAAACAGCTAAGTGAATGTTGGACTGAATTAATTTCTGATTTTGCCAATTTAGCTTCCTGATTATTTTATTAGTATTTTTTAATCGTCTTATTTGTTATGTTATTTCATTGCATGTAATTTTATTTGTATTTTTATTATTTTAGTACTTGTATTCTTACATTTTTTATAACTGTATTTTTATTGATCGTGTAGTTTCCTGTGTTGTGTTGAAAACTTATCGCGTTTTACTTGAAAAACTGCAACAAGGGGACACATTAGCTGTAAGAAAGCGTAGGCTGTAAAAGTCTCAGTGAAAACAGGAAAGGTTATGCGAAAGAAAGCGGGGATCCGAAAATGACCAGCAGAGAGCGCTATTGTGCAGAAAAAAAAACACTCCGAGCTCCACACAGAGCCGCTCCTACACACATGCAGCATTACATAATCACAGTGCAGCAAACAACACGAAGAAAATCCCTTGTTTTTCTGCGCGCGCTGCTTACAGCCACGCTGCAGTGCAATCCACACGTTTTATACTACAATGGTAAACTCAGAAATACCTTAGCCATTGAAAAGGTGGTCTCTGGACCACGGTGGCTGTCAATAGTTCTCATTTTCCACACATCTAATCAACAGTGTCACGTGACAAGATAAAACATAATCAAACAGACTGAATGTGGACTAGGGGACATTTGTCAATCAATTTATTTGTTTTTATGTAATATAATGTGTTTGTTTACGTCGATGTGACCTAAATTAATACGTAAATTAAATGAGAGAAAATAAGGACATAGACGCATGAAGGGAGCTGAGAATAACAGCAGTAACAGACCTGCACTGCCCTTTCTGCACTGAGTCATCGGTACAGGACTTTTCTGCTCTACCCCTTTAAGGAAGGCAGCGACCTCTCACCCTGATAAACCGAGATAGTTCTCTCTCTCTCTGTGTGTGTGTGTGTGTGTGTGTGTGTGTGTGTGTGTGTGTGTACCCGCCCTGTTCACTTCCACCTCCTCCTCCTCCCATCGTCCACAGCGCATTCAAGAGCTTCACCTGTGCTCTATCTCTCTCTCTCGCGAGCTCCGGTCCAGCTGTGGGGGAATACTCTGGTGAAGTCGGACCGTTCAGACTAAAGGCGGACAGCATTTCTGAGTGATCGCTGCTTCCTGAACCACAGAGTCTGCACATTACGAGAAAAATGGCAGATCCGATGACACAGTCTTCTCAGATATCGTCGTCGCAAGGACTAAACGATGGACACTCTGCAGCGTCCAAAGACTCAAAGTTCTCCGGTAAGAAAAGTAAAGTTAATGAGGTAAACTGGACCGAAGTGCAGGTTTGGGCACCGAGCCTAAAACCGTTAAAACCGTTGAGCTCGATTGTTTTTTTCCATCCAGCGAAACTGAGCCAGCGAGAACAACATGACGGCCGAGTGTGTCATCGCGTTTATCGACCCCTGTAGTCTGCAGTTTGATTTAAGAGAAAATGACTCATGTTATATTCCGGTATCATCGATTTTTACCTCAACACCGCCTCGTTTGGGGTAAAATAAGGTTTAATTTTCCACAACTTGGCTAACAGTAAAGCCATGAAGCGCCGTGCTCCTGCGTAGTGGAGCATTAGCCTATTTAGCCTTCAGTCGCTCGCTTAGCAAGACCCACTAAACGACTCTCTGAAGGTTGACGTCCTCCATAGCTGTGACCTAACTTTTAATTTTAGGAGCAGGCCACAGAGAGCTGTGGAGACACGTTTTCTGTACCCCGCTGGGGGCGTGAGGAGGGTGGAAATGGCCGTGCTGCGGCTCCGCTCTGATCTGCACTGCAGTGCTGAAGCACCACAACTGAGCAGCTCTTAAAGGCGCTGGGTGTGTTTATTTTTTGGTTTGTTTTTGTTGGCCTATCGTTGTCCAAATGGCAAACAGACATTACGCATTAACTTAACACACCACAGTGCCCAAACTTTATCTCTTTATTGACGCCTTCCTTTCGCAAAATTGTTATTCGCGTTGTTTAATATCTCTTAGTACATGGGCTTTTGTTAGGCTGAGCATCGACTACTGAGGGGAGGCTTCAGTTCAGCGCCACGGTTTAATTCTCCGTTATATACTTAGAGAGAACTTGTGGCCTCCTTTTTGAAGGAGCTCTGGAAGAATGTAGAGATTCAAAGATGAATTCCACTGATTTTTCAAAATGTATGCAAAATTATTCAGTCGTTGAGATGTAAACAGTGTCGTTCCGAGGGGGTTTATGTAAAATGGTGTGTTGTTGAGAAACCTAACTACGTAGCTGGTTACCCACTTTGGTTTATTTACAATGGTGGTGAACGGAACCAGGGGTCGTGATGTTTAACACGCATTTTATTTTCATTTTATTTTCTTTACAGCATGACGTGAACCTACACATCTGAGTTTATATATGTAATGATGTTAATGCTAAAACAGTACAAAGTTTCCTTTGGGGCACTATTTTGTCTCACAATACCTCGAATGTACAGCTCTATAAATAGAGAGAAAATGTTTTAGGCTAAAATTTTAACTCAAAACTAGTGTAAAACAATGTCTCTGGCGTCACGCAGCGTATTTCATGCAGTGCTTTCTTTGGGGTAGCTTTCCGTGAGGCATTAAATGCTTCAGACAGCTGGTTCCTATCACCACCACTGTGAACAGTTGTGACTTTCCTGGTAACTGATAATTCTGGTAAGTTTCTCTAGCTTTTCTAGCAGTTTCTCCCCTTAAACGTTGGACATGCTTAAACGTTGGGTTTTCTTAAATCTTTGTGTTTGCTGTATTTGAAAAGCTCTGTGTAATAGATTGCACCCCTCTCCCGTTTGATTGAACACCCAGAAAGGCTAATTCTTTTGTTTTCTGGTCATGACAGTTCTCGGGTTTCATAATCAAATAAAGATGTTGCTGAAGCTGATTTACCGTATGAGCAGTCAAGCAGGAGACACTGGACCAGATAGTCAAGTCATGCTGGGCTGACCCTTCCTTACCATCCCTTTAAGATGCAAAACCCTTAGGGGAAGGTGCACCAGCACAGCAGAATCTGAGCTGCGTAGTAATAAGTGTTTCTTCAGGTGTTTTGTCTCACAGTTCGATTTTGTCCAATATGTTAACGATCATTCCATTTTCCAACAGTTTTCTTTGTTTTAATTTGATCATGAATTGTCATATTAACTCCAACTTGATGACTTTATAAGGTAACGGATGCCTGAATGTGTTTTGCCTTCGTTTTTCACATTGGAGCTAAAAAGGCACCTACAGCTCATGAAGATTTCCTGTGAAGAGGTGAAGAAAGTTTTCAATACAAAGCCAACAGAACACGCCCATAAATCATGCTCTAATGAAGCTCTACTATTTTCTAATTGTAATCACTAAAATCGGTATCTGAGGCAGCGCTGGAGCCTGGAGAGATCTGGGTTTCATTATCTGGTCCTCAGGGATGGCGCTGAAGTTGTTGGCGTGACACAGATGCCACACATAGCTTTCTGTGGGTGCCCACAGCTGATGCCAAACCAGCCATTTCTCATGCTTGGTCTGACCTGGGGTCACTACTCTGCAGCTTCTGTAACATGAGTCTCCTCGCCACGTTTAACCTGTATCCCTTTAAGACATGGTGTGTTGGATACGTGCAACTGGCTCCAGAGTATTTCATTTCATCAGGAAGTATTTGTACCCTTGTGCATGTCATCAGATAACCATTTTGCACACTTTGAAGGTGAAAGACTTAAGACAAGTGTTACCTTTCACTGTAATATTTTATATATAGGCCTATAGAGAGCTAGCATACTTGGAGCACTTGGCAAGATAGAAAGAAGTACTAAAACTACCCAAATCAATGGCTGTGTAGGTACTGCTATTTAGACATGCTGTTGGCCATCTCACTTGACATGAAGCTGGTTTGATACTATTGTGTTTTGGTGGCGCTAATAATGTGTCCAGTGAAAGGGGACTGGATTTCATCAAAGACAGTTGACAGCTGAATGGCTTGGAATACATCCAGAAATATTGGCACCCTCGCAAAGCTGAGCAAAAACAAAGCTATGAGAAAATATATTTGTTCGTCAGCTTAATCTTACACTGAAAATGTAAGAAATATCTAACTTTCCTTTAAGGTAATTTATTAAAAGAAGAAAACTCACATTCCCCTAGTCATAACCAACCATAAACAAAGACTAATTATTCCCATAGATATGTGTTTTTGTTGTTATTGTTGTTATTGCTGTTTCTATAAAAGTGTGAAGCTCCTCAAAGGTCAGGACTGTACTTACTTACTCATGCACTTGCTCACTCACTCACCCATCCATGGCTGAAGTTTCTCCACAAGGCATCAGAATTCACAAATAAAAGACTACAAGATATTTTTGCCCTTCATAAATCAGGCTGTAGCTATAAAAATAGCTTAAAACCTGAAAATATCTACTTTCACTATTAGGGTTAAGAGATTTTAGACAAGCTGAGCTGTGATGAAACTGTGGAAGAGAATGCAAGTGTATTTCATTCCCATGTACAATGAGGAGGTTCCGGAGGTAAATCTTTTTCCAAGGATCACTTCAATTGAGTGATTCCTGGAGTTGGGCATTTTCATCCTGAGATCACCATGTGCCCAAAACTACCTGCAAACCAGTAAGCTTTTTGGAAGGCTTATCAGAAAAGCAAAACATAAATGTGAGATATTACAGTTAAGATACAGGATCTTTAATTGGAACTAGATTCTCTAATCAGACCAGAGCTTTTTGGCAATAAACACCAGAAGTGGCTTTGATAAAACATTCAAGGTAATGCAGAAAAGGAACTTATTCCCTTTGTGAAATATGGTGATGACCCTCCTCTGAAGGGCATCTTTGAGTCTAGTTAGGATGCATGGCATCATTGATCCACTCAAATAGGAAAAAGGGAGGCCATGAATAATGTGTAGCTGGATATTCCAAACGAGACAGTGGTGTAATGACACAAATGATGACTCGCTGACCACAGAGTCAAGCTTTTTCAAACTGGGCCCTGTACCTGCGGCACGAGTTGTAGAGGAGAGTCCTCTGAAACATGAAGATTGGAGCTTTAACTCCAGTTAGTTTGTGTGAGATTGGAGAATAGGCTTTATGTGGTTCCTTAGGTGTGTGCAAGTGAAACTGGAAGGTGGAAGGGTGGTCCAAGGTGTGTCTTGTAGTGAAAGGATCTTGAGCATCAAGTTCAGGGTGAGGCAAGAATGCTGTGTGGCAGGTATGCTTTCCTAAACTCCAGTCAGCTCAGCTTACCCTGGTTGGGGCGCGAGTGAACAAGTATGGCTCTGTGGCAATGATTCTGATTCACAACAAGTACAGCTCACCCCAGTTGATAGTGCTGCATTACTTGATTAACCTGCTCTCCTCAGAACTTTACCCACAGCTCTGTACAGCTGGCACGCCTTGTTCTGTTTGAGGTTGTCAAGACAAAGAAAATTGTGTGGCCTGGTGCTTTTTCAGTTTGATGTTGGGCTAAACTGTGAAACGGAGGCTCACTGTTAAAGCTTATGTTTCTGACGTGTGGTTCGAAAATGGATTCCCTAAATGGCTTACATAACTCCTGCCCATGATGCACTGTGTGGGTGCTTGTTGGGGTCAGACACTGGAAACTATGGGAGGAATTATTTGAAGAGTACATGGGGAATTCATCCACAATGGATAATAATAATGTGTGGAGAGGTCTTGTAGAATGTTATCTAGGAAGGCTGAAACAGGATGGCTGTGTTTTTTAACTAGATTTGCTGAACTAATATGAAGTGTATTCACTGAACCTCTGCTAGATACTGACCTTGTAGTTGCAGTAATTTGGCTTAAATTAAGTTTCATGCTCCTTCCTATTGATGAGGTAAAGATATCTAAAAAAGCATTGGTTGCTTAAATGCCAACACGAGACAGGTAAGAGGTTTTCTCATTGGACGCTGCATTGATATCGTCCATTTTCAATTTGTAGAGTATAAGGATATTAAGATTATTTACTTCTCATTCTTCTGTCCTTTTTATTTTTTCAGATTCCTTTTTTTCCTCTTCGCCTGTATCTCTCATTCAGTCTCCTCAAGGCAAGTGTATAGTTCTCTTATGCTGCTCGCCTGCTTTTCTACCCTTTTTATCTCTCTCCTCTTTATCTTCTCCTTCTGTCACATCTCTTCTACTTAGTATGCCATCTCTTGCTCTGCTGCTTCTATGATCCTCTCAATCCCTCTCTCTAGTGCCCCTCTCCTCCTTATACTAGGTTAGGTACTCAAATAGTAACTGTTTTGGATAGGCAGAGAGCTCCACCTCTTACGATAGTAAAAAGAAGCGGAGGACAAGAATGTCACAGAAGAAACCACACATCCTTTCATGTAAGCTGGAACAAATTTCAGCCTCAGCCAATATATGTCTTGACTCCAGTTGTCCATTTACTTGTCTTGCGAGTCTGACAGCGTCCTCTCCTTCTCTCAGTATGCTCATAGTTTTGCACCAAATGGTATACGAACATGGATATTCAGTTTCACCCCGCACGCCACCTTTCCACATGCTACAGCCCAGACCCCGCCTCGTTGACAACCCCAGAGGTCCTGTAATATGATTCTCCCAGTTTCTAATGGTGCTCCCTAATAGACATGCATGCTGGAATCCCAACAGGTCAGCCAGGTCCCACCTGTTTTCAGTACCATTTGATGATTGGAATCCTCCACCGCTGCTTGGCCACACCTTTTGCAATCACATGACATGCCCAACAAAAAATTGAGATAACTGCCTTAACCTCCATGTCATAGCTGCTCTTTCAAAGCCATCACCCTTAAGCCTCCAGCATAACTTGTTAAAGGTTGCATATGGGAAACTTGAAAAAGGAGTTCTTTCACCACTTGTTGAAGGTTGTATTTTACATAGCAATGTCATGTATTATGATCGAACATCAGAACCATTCAATCTAATCTACTCATATCTATCTTGATTCACAAATGGAAAAGCAAGGTCATCCTCAATCTGTCCGAGCTGCAAGCATTATTTAGGTCAGCGTTACTGTGGGTCCACGATAATCCCAAGATTGCCACCTTATTTTAAGATAGCAGTGAAGTTCAAGTTCACTTTGTGTGAGAGCAGAATCCTAAAAATGGATCAAGTTCGTATCCCCAAGGAATCCTGTCCTTGATGTCCCTCCTCCTCCACCGCTGGCTGTGTTTGGAGGCGCCTCCCCCCAGTTTTCACTTAGTACTGCAGGTAGAGTGACACTGGGGAGGGATCGACCATGAGGATGCCTGCTCTGGGATATTACCCCCATGGCTATGGCTGCCGGCTCTTCACTTCTGCTTGCGCCTTAAGACATTTTGCATGCAATCTCTTACCACAGAGTAAGGGAATTCTCAATATTTTTTGTTTTAATGACTGTCATTTTTTTTGTTTGTTTGTATTTGTCTCCTGTCTTCCCTGCCATTTAAGAATAGTTACATAATCATTTCAGCAATTGTGTTTTAAGAAAGTCAGCAAAGGTAAAACACTTAGCAAGTTTATGTAAGAGGGGTCTTATGTCACTGTCTTGTAATAAAAATGCTGCATCTGCTAGGGCAAGGCTTGATTAAAACATTAATTAAACTTGCAGAGAATTTTTTCAGTAATTGTTTTGCTGTTGCAAGCCTGCTGGATTTTTCAGTGTGGTTGCCAATTAAAGTGATCTATTTTTCATTTCTTGCATGGTAACATTTATAGGTGGTTAGAGATGCTGGAATATTCATGGGAGTCTGATTCCAGAGTCATTGCTCTCTGAGGTCTGTTTGACCCGTCTCATCAAAGCAGAATAGTCTTCAGGGGAAAGGCGATCTTAGTGTTGAATGTAAAGTGTTTTCTATTGCCTATAACAGTGATTTTCAAACCAGCCCCCTGGGCCCCCCATACAGCCCACATTTTTCCTCCAGTCCTATATGTTGCAAGTTGGGAGGAAGCAAAATTGTGGATTGTCTGGATGGCCCTGAGTACTGAGCTGCTTTGTGACAACACCTGTTGTAAAAAGCGCTATATAAATAAACTTTGACTTTGAGTTGGGAGCCACTACCTGTATAGTAGATTATTGTTTTCTTATGAAGCAGTTGTTGATCTGCTATGATGGTCCTGTTTCTTCAGAGTTGGTAGCACCTAGATAGTCTGCAGATACCTATTGCTGCAGTGGCCATGTGGGCTTTACATGAGCCTATGACAGTTTGGTACATCTCAAACAGCAGTTTTCATGGAGAACTTACGTTTTTGCTTGTTCCTTTGTACTGTTTTATACTTTTTGTTTACTTTTTGATTTACCCACAGGCAGAAGCCGCAGGCAGTATGCTCTCGTGCTGCTTCCAACATCATAGTTGGCATTTCACTTTTCTTCAGGAAGTCTTTATCCTTGCTACATGATTTGGAAGCAGGCAAATTGCTCTGTGAAAATTCTGTACTATTTAATGTTTGTTTTGTTCTTTTAATGCAAGAAAATATGAAAGTTGCACAGATTTTAATTTGTAAGGTATAATTTTATTTTCATTAGTCATATTGTTGAAGATGCAGCATTAATGGAACACATACACTCAGTAATGATAGAGAAATAATAACTTGTGTCTATCATCATTTACCCTCACTTAGTAAAAGAAGCACTTTTCCCTTATGCATCATTTAGATTCCTCAAAGGTAATACCACATTGTCTGACTGGCATGTCATCCATTGATCGTTTGAACCATGCAATGCATGATTGCTTCAGCTGCAACAAATGGATGCTACCAAACATCCTAGGAATGTTGTTTAAAGTACTAGTGTAATTGCTGATTGCTAAAGTTTTCGGGGCCTGTTTTTGACTCTGAAATAATGTCTGTGGAAAGCTGCATTTCAAAGTATTTGAATGGATGAATTTAACTAGTTAGACTTTTTCGAGGTAAACCCTTCCCATTCACCAGAGCTGCAAGCATGGCCCTCCACTTTAGCATATCTATATTACTGTAGAGTGTGCCTTGATTTGTTTCCTCCCCATCTTCTTCCCCTTTTCCCTCCTTGTTTAATGGATGCAGACAAAAGGGTAGTACTGGGCTCTGACAAGCCTTCGGAGGGTGTGGCCACCTCACTTCGCTTTTCTTCCCAGCCAAGTTCATTTTCACCTGTGGGTTATGGAAATGAATCCTCAGGACCACCTGTAGATCGTAGTTTCCAAGAGAAAAGGGAGCGTTTTGAATCATCAGTTGGGTCCCAAAAGCAAGACTCGTCCCCCATAAAGGTCTCTCCTGTGTCCGAGCGAATCAAAGCATTGGAAGCTCTGGCTGCAAAGCAGAATGATTCTGATTGGAATGATGGAGGATTTCCTCATTTCCGAGAGCGCCACTATGAAAAGCCCCCTACAGAGATACATGGCATCTCTTCACGCTCATCATTTAAGAAAAGGGCCACATCCACTGAACAAGAATCTCCAGAATCACCTTTCGAAGTACTTGGTGATGCCAGACATGGGAGCGACTTTGAGGACACTGCAGACTGGATGAAAGCTCATTTGCCCCCAGCACCTGACTTTGGCACTGAAGAATCTGATTTTGATGAAGTGAAAGAGTCTGCTGTAGTGCAGGAGAGTCCATCAACAGAAACAAAGGGCAAAGATACCGATGCGCCAGAAGTTCCTGCATCTTTTGTAGGTGTTCCGGATGAATTTATGGACACTCCTATTGAAGTGGCAGAACAAGTGGTCGATGATAATAAACAGTCTAAGCAAGACAGTGTAGAGGAGGAGTCTGAATTTGATCTTAGATTTTTACCCACTGCCTATATGTGGGACAAACAAGAGAAGTCTGACATGGACACACAAGGCCCATCAAGCATCCCTGAAACTCAAGACTCTGAGATACCTGTATCTTCTGCACCACCTGATGGGTTTGAATCTTCTTCTGTTCCTTCTCCACCTCCTGCTGCCCAGATGGACTCGGGTACAAAGCAGCAGTCTCAGGGTGGTGGCTCTGAGCCTGCAGAAATCCTTGAAGTTGACAGCTCTGGTGAATCTGATGATACAGTGATTGAGGATGCAAGTGGTGGCCGTCCACATGCAGGCCCCGATGCTCCGGAATCTGTACCTTGCATAGATAAGGTTACCCTGCCAGACGACAAAGAGAAACAGGGCATTCTGGTGCCCATCATTAATGTCATTGAGACAGAGGAACAGAATATCAGCGATGATGAAATGGTGCAGGAGGAGGAAGAGGATGATGAGAGATATCAGGTAATTCAAGAGCCTACTACACAGGCTCCAATATCATCTGATGAGCATTCAGAGGTTTCAAAATCTGAAGAGGTTTCCCTGAACAAAGAAGATATTTTCTCACCAACAGAGGTTACGGAATCTGATGCAGATTATTCTCCAAAGCACAAAATCAAAGATGATGTTAGTGAAGACATTTTCAACCAGACTTGTGTTGATTCAAAGGGTTCCACTTTGGAGGAGTCTTGTGAGCAGTCGCCTGTATTGCAGAATGTAGATGAACCTCAGAAAGAGTCTTACGTTAACATTGTTAAACCAGACAAAACTGCAGAAATAACACCAGACCTGCCCCATAATTATGAGGATCTCTCAAATGAGATTGAATCCAGCGATATAGATACATACTTGGATCATTACACTAGTCAAGAATTAGCTTTGAAAGATCAGCTGAATTCAGGTGTTTTATGTGAGAATGATGGGGAATCTAATGACTTGCAAAAATCCAACTCTCTTGAACGTAGTCAGAATGACACGATGTTTGCTCAGCAGTCAGTTGAGGAAACTATTGCTGATGAAATTGATGAGCAGCTTAATATGAGCAAACAAAATATTGATTCAGTTCCTGAGCCTTTGCCGGTTGGCATCACGGATGTCTATAATGAGCCTCTGCTCCCTCAGAATGAAGTGCCAAGTCATGAACTAGAGGATCAGTGTGTAGATCTAGAGGACCGGAAGACAGTAACTGCACCAGGAAGTTTTTCACTGGTGGAGGAGAAGGATTACATCAGTCAGACCACTGCAAGACCGCCCTATGTTCAGGAGAACACTCCTGCTCCATTCCCCTCTTTCCATCATGATCCATCAGACAAAATCAGTGAGGTGATTTCTGATTTTGTGGCCAGTGATCTGAATGAGGGATTAGTGACATCTACCTCTGAACATGATGATCTAGTCCAGCATGATGTTCCAGACATACAGATGTCACCGGAAAGTACAAGCGAACCTGAGAGCATTGAACCAGAATGCTCTGTGATAACAGCATCAGACAGCTTTGTGGAGTTCATGAGAGAGTGCTTGAAGTCACAGCAGGATGAGCAGCCTGAGAGCCTTGGTCTAGGACATGTCGCCAAGGATCCTACGTCTGTTGCCCCTTCTCCACCCGCTATGGTTATGGATTTGGAGCAAGAGCGTCTTACTATCTGTGCTCTCAAAGAGCTTGGGAGCAGCCAAGAGCAAGAGGATGAAATAAGTGTTTCTAACAAAACAACCTCAGTCTCTTCAAAGGAGGGTTCACAACCTTCATCTAAATCTGAGTCGTCCGTCCCCTCAGTTTCCACACCTCAGCATCTTCTGAACGAGTATGAGCCTGAAACTTCATTAGCCAAAGAGGTAGAGGCAATCGACATGTGGGTGGCAGAAGCCTACCACCTCGCAGAGCATGTTTTGGCAGCAATACTAACCCACCTGTCAGGTAACTTGCCTTTCCTTCAGGCTATTAGCCTGCTAACCTTGCACGCAAAGAAAGTCCCAGCACTAGACTAACTGTCTTACCTTATATTCAGTTTGGTCTCCTGCAACACTAACACATTCAGTTGCATGTGTTTGAGAAATTGAAAACACTTTAGAAATGTCGTAGAACTTCTGGTTATCAAAGCTTTTGCAGTAGGAATAGAATACTTAGTACTCTATCACCAGTAAGTCCAAACAGCTTTTTGTTTACTTATCTTTAAAGTTAGCTTAGTTCTCATCATAGTCGTAAAGGGTCTTCTCTATCACAGAACGCTCTTGTAAGAGAGCACAACCATTCAGATATCTGGCTTGTTTGTTCTCCATGTCATAGATGTTCTTTTTTCAGAGTGGAGCTAGAGGAAATGTGTTGTTGTGTTCCATAGGACGCTGGCCATGCCCTGCAAATGGCACAAGTGTCCACATGGTATCAGTTTGCATAACCCTTGAAGCTTGGCAGTGAAGACTGTCTCGAGTGTTAGATTTCTGCAGCATGATGCAGCTTTTTCTGGCCCACTGCCTTTACAGCAGAGGGCAATGGAAATTAATTCAAGACGAACATGTCATTTTAGAGAAGTCCTATCAGTTTCTTCTTCTCTGCCTTTGTCATCTTTGAGCAGAGCTGGAGGGGATAAGGCTATGATCTGAAGTGACATGAGGAAATGATGCAGAATAATGAGTTTCATGTCATCCTAAACATAGCTCAAGTAATCCTAATTGTGTGCTGTAGTTAGCAGTGATTCTTGTGTTTAGTGTAGTTTTTGTATGACTTTATTCAGTGTGTTTATGACAACTGAATGAGTTTATATCCTGTAGGAGAGTTTGTCACACAACTGTGTAGTTGTTCTTGCTGATATGATCTAGAGTTTTGGTATACAGGATTTGAATGTAGATGCAGGAAGTCAATGACTCCTCCTTATGATTGCACTTTGTGCTTTTTGTACCAAGGCTGATCATGAAATGTAAAAATGTTGCTAGCCTTGATTTCTAGACAAAATTGAATTATCACAGAGGTGTGACTAGGCAGGATTTACAGCTGCCAGTTACCAACTGGCATTGTTGATGAACAGTGATGTATGAAGTGCGGACCTCAAGACTACTTGAATCAAGGCTAGGAATGTATTGCAAAGCCTAAACTAAGGACAAATTGTTGAATGATAAATGTTCAAAAAAAAAACAAAAAAACAAATTCATGACTACATGGTTAATACACCCCACAGTCTCCTCCAAGGGTTTTTATGTAAGCCACTAGTCAACTGAGGCCGCAGGGCTCAAATGGCTGAGGTTGTTTTTTGTTTCTTTGAGCCACTGATAATTGGAGTGCTGTAAAATCAAGATATTTAGAACACATAAAATATAGAAAATCAAATCTTTACCGCCGAGAAAGAAACTGTTAAACCTGAACATATGTGTACTATAACACCCCTATGAGCCTGTTTTGCTGAGGTTTGAAGTAAATTCCTTACTTACAGATATAAGTTTAATACAAGGAATGGGAATCTAGACAATGTTACTTGCCATTTTTTTGTCTTTGTAGATCATTTAGGGTTTTTTTTTTTAACCTTGTAAACACTGTCAGTCCCTGCACGGTTGATTTCCAAAATAAAACTTTCTACTGTTGAGAGTGTTTGTTTTGGTGGGTGTGAGTGCCAGCTTCTTCATCTTATTCGTGGTTAGTCTGGACACTGTCACAGCAGAACAGATCAAGTTGATTGTCAGGGTTTTTTTTGTTTTTTTTTCTTATCTTGTGAAGTCTATTTCTAATCTGCACCAAGTCTTTCGTTGTTGGCAAAAACTGTTGGGGGGGGGGGTGACCTGCTTTTTTGCTGTTTGTGTTTTTACAGACGAACACTGATTAACATCTATTAACATAGCAAGCATTTTTCAATTTTTTTTAAAAACCCCTCAGCCTAGTGATGTGTGTGTGCCTCTCAAATGATGCAAACACACGTGGCCATGCATTTGCACACGTACGTGTATTTATGTATATAAAAAAAAGGTGCCTGTGCCTTTAAGAGCTGAGCAGTGCTAGTGCTGAAAAGAGGCCACTGCGGCTCGGCTACCGCTGGGACATGCTGCTGTATCTGGGGCCGCTATGGCGAGAGATGGGGGGGGGTGATAATGAACGAGCACTCAGTCCAGGCTGCCTCCCTCTGGGCACTGGCAAAGCATGCTGGGAGGGACTCAGACCCCTGCAGTGAGCGAGCAGGAAACCCCATGCCTGCGTTCATCGTTAACCCCCTAAAGCATCTGAAATGGAGAGGTGAAAACAATGGTGTGCTTTCTGAGGCTCTGAATCGTTGGCCTTGCACCACTGTGCTGCGGTTATGTCATGATGAGTCTTTTCGTCAACATTTTCCCCACTACGTAGCTTGTTTATACTGAAATGTTTATCCACAGTGAAATGGGGATGTTCACAGTTTGCCTGTTACTTTGCCTTTGACTGCAGGGAGGTACCCTGCTTTAACATAACTATTGCTATAATGAAAGATATGGTAACTGCTGCAGACAAGCTGAAGTCGGCTCCACTTTTAGGTGTAGGGGTGGGCAGTATGCCAGTATTTATCGTTATCATGTCACAAAACACTTTTCTGAGCATATTGTGGATATTGTCAGTACTTAAAAACTCTGAACAACTGCAGGTTTTATTATAAAGAGAGCATAATTAGTCATATTTATTTGCATTTAGTGCAGCACGGTATGCAAAACACTAATAAAAATAACCATACTTAGTTTTTTTATTAGGCAGTATTTGTTCTGTTTTTAGTCTGTTCCAACTTACTAAACTTCAGAAAAAAGAAATATTGCCATGTATATCATGTCTTGAAGTATTGCGATGATATATTTTTGCCATATCACCCGACCATACTTGAGTTCTTTGTTGTCATTTCTTGCGATGCCTGGGAGACAAATTAATTCTGATCCAGAAGAACCAGACGCACCCAATAATAAATAGTCTTTGCCTGATCATAAATAAGTAATTTGAGTACAATAAAATACTCCTGTAAGCATACCATGTGATGTAATCAGTGCCGGTGCACTGAATGCTGTAAATGTCTGAATAGGTTCTACTGGATTTTAAGTGCAGAGACGCTATCTGTGCCATTAATTTATAGGAAGAGACGGGGCAGAATAACACAATACAGTGGGTGTGCTTGCACAGTTTCCAATGCCCATCCCTCACATGCCAGTGGAGGAGATTTCTAGAACAGAAAGCAGGAAGGTAGCACTTCAGCCTTAAGAGCTGGTTTTAGCCAGCTTTTTCTGTGCTCTTGTGGGTTGCAACACTGAAATGAAAGTCTGAGGCACTGTGCAAGCTTGACTACTAGAGAGCATTGTAATCGTACATAAATGCCTGCTTCAGTATGTATGCTTCCCTGAGATGGCGAAGCGCACGTACCAAAGGCCCAAGGCGTTTCTCCACGTGGAGACTGCCGTTTACATAAGGCTTCTTTTAAAAGGTTTCTTTCATGCTGCAGTGGAGACTATTTAAGAACTCTGCTACGGAATTACATAACAGCTGTATAGAAAATGTCTCCTTTGTTTTCGACAGATTCATAAAGTTAAGACCAAGTAGCTCAATAATTCTGCCAACAAATAGTGCCATAATACTTAATTAGGGCAGTATTATTTTGGACAAGCATAAGCATGATAATTGAAAGTAAAACGAATATAGATCATTGTAGATACAATAAAATTTAATATCATATTTCACTTTCCCCCTTCTCACTTACACCATACACAAACTCACTACATATCACTCATGCACTAACATACATTCCATGCACACACATGCTCTCTCTCTTGCAGTATATGAGCTGGTGCACTGGCGCGACCCGAAGAAGACGGGTGTGGTTTTTGGCACCTCCTTGCTGCTGCTACTGTCTCTGGCAGCTTTCAGCGTGATCAGCGTCATCTCCTACCTGCTTCTGGCCCTGCTCTGCGTCACCATCACCTTCCGCATCTACAAATCTGTCATCCAGGCTGTGCAGAAATCCAGTGAGGGGCACCCCTTCAAGTAAGACAAAGCATTCTCTGAAGGGCTGTGGTCTTGAGATGCACTATGTGCCAGGTATAGAATGTGCGGAGAGTGTACACCTGGTTCAATGAGGGATTTTATCAGCAGAAAATGGATTGGGAGGATGAATATGAACAACAAATACATCATCAAATATTGGTTTGAAATATCAATCACATCATAACATCTGCCCATTCATTCTGCTGATACCAATATGATTCCATCCTTAGTATTGGAAAAGGGAAAAAGTGCCACCTCTACCTAAAGCAGTTCATGATTATAGGCCCATTACTATGGGTCACATTAAGAAGGATTTTATGTTGTGCAATGTTCAGACGGAGCTACACTCTGCAGAGAAGATTTGCTTGTGGTTTATGAATATATGTGTTCTATTAATACTGGCTATCTGCAACATTCTGCAGTATTTACTACTAAACATGGACATGCTTTTCTTATTAAGCATTTATGAGTATATGTTTTAAAACTCTTATATTTGCTAACTAATTATGTATGTAGGGAAGAGGAGGGGAATGATTGTGGGTGTGTCTGCCTCCATTAGTGTGTGGGGATGTATCTGCTGGGCTAATTGGGTTGACCCGTGCTTGTGGCAGGGCTCTGATGGAGAAGGATGTCAGCGTGCCTCCTGAGACGTTCCGCAAGCACGTGGATGTGTGTCTGACCTACATCAATCGCGCACTCAAGCAGATGAGCCGCCTTTTCTTGGTTGAGGACTTGGTGGATTCCCTCAAGGTTGGTCCATTATCTGTTATCTTAAACTTGGCATGACCTGACCCCTCATATGACTCTTCTGTGTGTGTTTGCTTGAGATGTTGAAACTGAGCAAATGATGGATCTGTTTCTCCCTCATTCATTGACTGCAGTCACACTTGCACACATGCACGGTTCTGTCATTTGTAACTAGGGTTGCAAGCGGTGGCGTAATTACCATTCACCGATAAAAGTGAAAATTTAATTATTAATCAGGCCGATATTCTAATTATAGCTGATTATTACAACCCATAATTTAGCTCCCTGTTTTTATCTTGTGGACATACTGATAGACATGTAGGCACTAGTCCTGGGCATTTACAAAATAAGAGTCCTTGGGAACGACTCATAATGCTACATACACTTATGATAATTGACTGGAAAAGAGTGTCTGCTAAATGATAGAAATATTTATATGAAATCATGTAAATGTCTCCAGAAATTAGTCTGATTTACATTTTGTCATAGCTATGTAAAACTAACCAACACTCTTCTTTTTACCTTTCTTATTGTTAGTGCACTTGTTTTAAATTGCCATAAAGCAAAAGCAAATGTTTTCGTTAACATCAGTTTCAGCCACATCAAATTTGTTTATCAGTGTTAGCCCAGGAATTCTATATCTGTGCATTATTGTTTGTAACACACACACATACACAAGTGAGATGTGTTGATAAGCCTTTCTCACGTGTAAGAGAGTGGGAGCTGATGGCATTCAGAGGAAACAGCCCACAGATTTTAGAGGTTGAGGACTGACCCAGAACATGCTGCCCTCCACAGACAACAGCGTGGTGCAAAGACTCTAACTGACCGGTTTTCATTATATTACACTTTTATGGGCATTAAAACTATTCAGCAGCAAATGATCACTAATTTCTAACCCTAAAACGCAAAGGACTTTCCGTGCTTCAGTTTTTAATGTCATAACTACATACTTACGTAATTTCATTACAAGTTACTTAATTATTTATAGCAGCTACTGAGTATAAATCTTAAGATTAGCAGGTCCATATTATGGACAATCAAATTTTTGTTACTTATTGCTGTTATATATGTACTGTCAACTCTCTAGTTCACATAGAAACAAAGTTGCAGAAACTGCCTGTTTTGAATTTATTATGGTTGTAGGTGAATTGTATCATTACTGCAGGTACTAGTAGTTTTTTGAGATTTGGGGAAAATATGTAAATACTATGCTTTTTTTTTTCTGGCTGTTAGGAAGCCAGTGTACCATTGCAGCCTATACACAAATCTGAATTTGAAAGGTGTGGCTGACATTTATTTTTTCCTGATTTCCCTGAGGGTTTCAGTCTGAACGGTTTGTTCCACATTTCAGCTCAGACTGAGCCGTCAGAACAGTCTTAAAGATACAGGAACGAAAGCAGCTTCTTAATTCTAAGGGATCAAGAGAGGTTGGGAAATGGTAATGTAAAAATATTATAAATGTTTTGGTACATAAAATCACACAAATTATCAACTTTCTTTGGGGGGGTTATAAAATATGAGAACAATGTGGAATATGACTTCTTTAATAACTAATTAAGCTAGAGCACAGAGAGTACAGAGACTTCTGCACTGTCACTTTATTAACGTTTTTGTGTACTGTCATTTAATTTCAGCTGGCAGTGGTCATGTGGTTGCTGACATACGTGGGTGCCGTGTTTAATGGCATCACCATCCTCATCCTTGGTAAGCTCTGACATGCTAAGTCTACTATGACCACAACACTCCTGATTTCTCTATGAAAGAACCACTGTCCTTACAGTTCACGTCCAAAAATAAGAAACAAATAATTGGTCTATATGTATGGTAATCTTCTAAGTAATGTTCAGTAAAGAAAGTCTGTTTTTTCCTCTTTTTCCAGCGGACATCCTTATCTTCAGTGTACCACTTTTGTATGAGAAGAACAAGGTGAGTCCGTGACACATTTTTAATCATGTTGATGCTTTTCATTAAATACACTATATAGGAGTTCTGCATTGTGTACGACCGCCGTATGTCAAACCACTGTCTACAACTGCATTAGGTTAGTGCAGATATTGTTGCCACAGTACTAGCAAACGTAACCTTTTCCATGTCAGCACTAATGAATCAGCATTCATTGTATTGGTATAGCTGTCGCTTTAACTTCTGTCTTCCAGAAAGTTTTGCTGTGGCCTCAAAACCATAACCCACTTTTTAGTGTCCCCATAGTGACCTGAAACGCAAGTCTGCAGCACTTTAAATGTGACTTTTCCCTCACTGAATTTTCCTCACTTTTATGAAATAAGAGTTTGACATAGTATATAAAATTGTTAAATTCAAAAAATGCCATTAACTTCACAGTCTATACGGTTCATATATGGAAACTAAGCTGCCAAAATAGTCTGTTTTGAATTCACTGTTTTTGTGATGTCACAAAAACCATTGCATTTACATACGTAGCAGTTTGCTCACATTATAAGGAGTGTTTCAGCTCGGACTGCTTTTTGAATGATGCACAATACAGGGTGGCCAATCGGAACAGAGCTTATTTATATATATCAGTCTTAGAGGCACAACGTTAGAGAGGTTAACACAGTAACATAAACAGCCTGTTTTATTATATAGGATAAAGAGAGGTTGGAAAATGGTTATGTAAAATTTATAACTGTTTCTGGTACACTAAACCACACAGATGTTGTAAGTGGATATCAAGGGGGAAAAAATGGAAATATAAAAAATTATAGGTAATCTGTGACCTTAACTATTTTGGTAGCTCATTAGCAAGACCATTAAAAGGTGTCATTGTATTTTCTCTGCAGACCCAGATAGATCACTACATTGAGATTGCACGCACTCAATTTAATACTACGATTGCCAAGTAAGTTCTTCCTTTTGTTTATGCAAGTATGTGTTAACAAATCAGAGTCTTTAACCAGAGGTGGGTAGTAACTATTCACATTTTACTCAGATAAAAATACTTTTTTGATGGATTTGTAAAAGTACAATTTTGGATGGATTTGTACTTTGCAAAGTATTTTCAATTCATTATTCTTTTACTTTTACACAAGTATGTTTTGTGTGAAAAGCAATCTAGTTTTATACTTGCGTTACCCAGTTACATTTCAGTCATTAACATGTAGTCACTGATTTTCTGTTTAATTTGATTCTGTTACTTTTGAACATCATCTGTACTGGTTTAACACTACTCACACCTCTGAATTTTAAGATTTTTCATTTTATTTTGGACCAAGTGTTCATCAACAAGAGACGAATAGAGCATAACAAACTTCAGTGGATGCTGGATGTACTAAAGTCCTATTCAGACAGAATTAGTTTTACAAGAGGAGGTGGGGTAATGTAAATTTTACCTGCATTTTTGCATTTTAGTCCCATCCGAATGGATGTCAGTCATTTTTACCAACTGTGTGCTTCAGCTTCAGTCGAGATTCTGGAGCCTTTTACCTTCTATAAACGAGCTGTAGAAATAACCTGGGGTTATATAAATCCTGTGCGACTAAACATGTCAGTAATTCCACAGTACTATATTCTGTGGAATCGGAGTTTCTTAAGTATAGAGGCACTCGAAGAAGTGTTTACTTGTGTGGCTAAAATCAAGCTGACCTCACATACAACTCGGAACATGTAAACATTACAGAAAAAAAAAGTTTAATTTAATGCAGTGATGCTAACTTGGCTCTGAATTCTCAAGCTAATGGTGCACTGTGTTCAATTAAGACAGCAAGGCAGATAAACGAAATAATGGCTAAATTAAATGTTTTAACTTTTTCTGCTGTTTAATGAACTAAAGGTTGTGCATAAATTGAGTAGCCACTCCCACCTCTATCATTTATGGAAAACTATTCCTGTCTGAATAGAGCAGTGCATATCTATATGTTACTCAGTACTTTTTGTGCTGGTCAGAGTTCCCACATTTCCTGGAAATTCTGTAACACTTGAAAACATGTAGACCAGTTTTCCAGTCACCTGTCACCTGTAAATAAGAAAAATGCCAAAATGCCCTGAAACTTTTAGTGAAGTATTAAAAAATTGTGAAGTTGGGCCATTAAGCCACGAAATTGTATATTTTAGTATATTTAAGCTGCTAATGCCCTGTTTGAGTGGCCATTCATACCTATTGTAGCTTGAAATGCTACAGTGTCACATGGGCACAGATTCGTGGATGCTGTGTTGGAATGGCTGGTAAATCAAGGCTACATTAACAGAGAGCAGCTTCTAATGCACTTCTAATATATTAGTAGAACTTGTGATCAAATGATGATTGAGGAGTGATTTGTGTTTGAGTCATTATGCATCACTCAGTCAGTTAGGGGTCTTTAGAGGTTGTATTGTTGACTTCATTTCTAAAAATGTCAGTTGTGTGTCATTTTCAAGATGACCTTTTGTGATTTTAATAACTGTTCTGTACGTAAGTCATGGAAATTGTCATGGATTTTTCCTAAAGTGGGGGATCCTACTGGTACTTTTATACTTCTCCTTAAGTTGTTTTGAGAAAGTTGCTTTTTATTGTAGTGATTATTTCACCAAATTAACAGTACATTTTACTTGAGTATAGGTTTAGGCTACTTTACCCACTTTTGTATGTTACTAAGCATTTTAATGTAACTTGGCAACTAGTAAAGCACCAATTAACTTAAATGACTGCCACCTAATGGGCATATATATATATATATATATATATATATATATATATATATATATATATATATATATATATATATAGTCCTGTTTTTAATTTTTATTTTCCTCCTCCATCAGGCTACAAGAGAAGCTCCCCGGAGCAGTGAAGCGCAGTAAAGCGGAATGATCCCTCTCTGATCCCTTCATGACCACCTCTGGAATCCCTCTATTTCTAGCCTCCACCCCTCCCTGCATCTTCTGTTTTCCTCCCTTCCTCCCCTTATCCTTCAGTTTAATCTCCAAATGCATCTCACCAACTATCTGCACTGAACCAGCTAGTCTCTAAAATCTCAGAAGCTTCTCAGTATTCGATGTTAACTCTGCAGCTTAACTATGAGCATTAGGGAAGATGCATGGGCCTCCAGAGGCTGGTGACTCAAACACAGGAAGTGATGTAATACTGCAACTGGATGCCTATTTATGGAGCCCATCTTTGGGCAGTGTGTGTGAACTAGACTGAATCTTTGGCCTGGTTTCAGAGTGTCCATAGGGGCTATGCTATTAATAAAACAAAAAATAAATGAATAAAATGTAGATGGGTTTTTAACTTCGAAGCAAATGTCTGTACTTATTAATATATTTCACAGGAAATAAATTGGAAGAAAAAAAAACAAATAGTGTGTTTAAGCCACCAGGCCTGCTCTGCTCTTGATTCTGGTATTTCATACCCTTTTTCCCCCTTCTCCACCCCTTCTCGCCATAGGACACTTGCTCATATATTATGAAACTGCAATGCACTGATTGTTACTAGTCTCACACATACACAGATTGATTATAATGGTGGGGACACTGCACCAGCCATGGTGATTTGGTCTAGTTCGCTGTCCTGTCTGTTGTGTTTTGTTTTGTTTTTTTGGCATTTTAATTTTTAATTGTGTATGTATATATTAGTAAGATTACAACAGGCTCTTTGCTGTGAAGAAGTAGTCAGCCTTGCTTTTTATATTTAAAAAAAAAAAAAACAAAAAACAAACATGCCTCTTATTTGTCTCTTGCGTTTGTCTGAGACTCCTGAGTTCACACGTAAACGAGCGTTATTCTGATTATTACTGTTCAGATTATGATTATTAGGTCACATGTAGGTGATAGCTGCTCTTGACACCCCAGTCTGGCATCTTAAGTAATTAGTAATATTCTTAAGCTTGAGTTATCTGTATAGAACCTTCAAAGCATTTGAATGGTGGAAAGGTTAAGGATGAAAATGTCGCTGTTTTGAAGAGACGGAACAAGATGTGTGGTCAGTGTTGAGGCTGGTGGGAAAACGTTTTCTCTTTTTGCTAATCTTGGATCAGCTGTAAGATTCTAAGCGACCTTCTTCATACATACATACACCTGAAAAGGCAAAACTGGTCCTAGATCAGAATCTGGAGAAACATTTCCAACGCTATGGGTGATTTCTTGTAATAAGTGTTCTAAATTGGTATATTGGAAGGTTTTTGGTTCCTAATTTAAGGATGCAAAGCATGTCATTGCAAAAGCTAGAGTGCTTTGCTAATTGTTTTCATCTGCATTTTGTTTCATGATAAAATGTGCAGACTATACAGTTATGTCTATTTGCATACACTGAAAGGGACTTAAATGTGAGGAATAAAAATGGATGCACGTAGCTTGCGCCTGGTCTGTATTTGGCACTGGATTCTACCTGTCCTTGCTCTAATAAGTATCTGGAAGCGTTAGCGTGTATAGGCTTCAGTATCAAATGTATACCTGTATTTATTGACATACAAATGGGTAAACTCAGTACCAGATTATAACAATAACTACTGCTAATGCTACTACACAGATGTCTATCAACTGCTGAATGTTTCATTGTAATGTCTATAGAGCATTCCAGCTAACGCATGCAATCTTGTGTGTTCACAATGGAACTCATTTTAACACAGTCCGAATTTGCCTCACATGGAGCGTTTCATGAAGGGTCACGTCCACTGAACGTGGACTTGATGGCCAAAACCGAAATGACAGGGATTTTTTGTGTTGCTCCGCCCCTTGAAGCTCAACTGTAGTCTTGAATCCTGGATGTTTAGGATTTAATTTTTACATTTGTTTTCTTCTATGCATGCACGCAACGGCACACTCAGACACGCTCACCAACATTTGAAAGTATCCTTCGTTTGTACCACTGTGTCCTTGTGTTGCTGAACTAACATGCGTTATGTTGACTTGTGGGTCTTTGGTGTGGTGGTGCTTGAAGAAATAGGATAAGCTCCAGCAGCTAGTTTGAACATTTATTCTATCTTTTTTTTCCAACACTAAGTTAAAGAAATATTACCTGTTTTTTTTGTTTTTCTTTAATAGATGCAAACCTTTTCTTCTTTCGTGTTTCGATTAAATACCTGCAGATTTTTAACTTCTGTAGTTTAACAGCATGTTGGCTGTCTCCTTTTTTTTCTCTTTTTTGGGGAGGGAGTTGCAGAAGTCATGTTTATCTTTTGGTTTTTGCTTTGGACTCTTGATAACTAGATGTAATAACTAATATCTATGTTCAGTTTGTTAGTTATGAATTAAGTTAATCTGGGAGCTTTGGGGGGGGAGAAAAAAAGTGGAGGGAGAGGAAAAATAAATTGTGGTCCCTGTAATGATGTCAAAGTGAAATTAATAAAAATGTTAAAAAGACGTGCTTTGCTTCTGTTTTCCCACTTAATCATCAGAAATGCCTGTATTTACTTGGGGTTTTTATTATTATCACAAGATTTTTATCAGCAAAAAAGCAGCCTGCCATGGCATTCAGTGTACCACCATTCAATGTACCAACTTTCCAATGCACTACTATGCAGCACACTTACCACTTAACCAATGCAGGTTAAGAATATTTAGGTATGAATAGGACTAATTAAGGACAGTCTTGGAAGAACAGGCTGCCTGTCTCTGTTCATTCAGTTTTCCTTTGTATAAGCTGCAATGCCATTTTAATTTAATTGCATTTTGTGGATTACAGTCAGCAGCCAAGCCTCTAACATCATGCAAACTATGTGACAGAAGGCAAACCCAGATAACACACACTCCCTGAGACATGGACTCAAGTCCCTTGTTTCAGTTATGACTCAGCAACAGGGTTTTACCCAACATTTGAAGTAAGTAAGACTTACGATGATCTCTTGGAAACCAAATACTAGGGCTGCACAATTTACAGTTTATCGTTATAGTAATATTGGCCTTTGCGACATTGATAACTGTAGAAAGCTACACTATGCAAATGAGCCCTCTGACTAATCACAATGTTTTTTACTATAGGCCTGGGCGATGTAACAAGATATCAGTGACGGTTGACAAGTAACCTGATGACGATGCCTCAAAGATTAAAACATGCCGTTTGGGGAGAAAAAGAACTGATAGAGGACTGATTTAAACAGCTTACTGACCAATAAAAAATAACATTTAATATTCTACTCCCTTTTACTGTGAAAACTACGGAGTGGCACAGAGCATTGATAAGCTGTTATGATACGATAGCAAATTAAGCACTGTCTCTGCTGTGGGTTTCCCAGTGTGACAACGTCTGAGGAAAATTTTCAGCACGTTACAGACGGCTTAATGTCCCAAACTGATGACTCAGATGGGTCAACATAGATTGATAAAATGATCAAAATATAATACTTGGTGGTTTCCCACAGGTATCTATTAGGGACGTGCATAGGTAATGTTACTCAAGTACTCAGTTAACTGTTTAAGGTGCCAGTATTTAAATACTGAAATCACTTGTTCCGTTTCAGCACAGGAAGACTGAGAAAATACAGAGACTAACAAGTCAATGAAACAGCGCTTCTGTTTTAACAAAATTGTAAAATGTTACAGTTCTGCTTGTATTTCTTAGTAAGGAATACACCACTCTGAAACACGAGTGCTTAAACATGATCGTGTTGCCAAGGACGCATTGTTAAGGAACTGAGAAGGCAGATGTAGCACAGCTTTACTGCTAGCTAACTAGGCTAACTAAACTAGCTGATGTTAGCTAGGTCTAGTAACAGTGGAAATATATTTCTCTGACAAACTAACTTGTTGGCACATCGTCCACTGAGGAGAAAAGACCTTGTGTAAGGCAGCAAGTCCTCATTAGCATCCGGTGAACCAGTTAGCTGCAGTTTTAGCTCACATCTGAAGAGGCAACCTCTGTTACTCATCCAACATAAAAACTACGGATTTCCTATGGCTTTATTTTTTTTTGAATAACATTTTTTAATGTATTCCTCTGCTCAGACCGGTCACCTAAAAGAGTAAAGCTCTGGCCTTCTGGCCAAAGTACTTTTACTTCTTATTCGATTATCAAAATTAGATGGAATGCCCATCCCTAGTATCTATAGCCGCTAACTCCAGAGCCCTCTCTACTAAGATGGACAATATCTGAAATATATATAAAGCATATGCATGTGGCCTTGGAACTCACTGCTCATGTGTAGCAGTCTGGGGTTTCTCCAGCAGGGGGTGCTGTTAGCACAGACGTTGCTTTAGTGTGCATCATTTAAAAAGAAAAAACTGCCACAAACTCCAGGATAATTCTAACGGAAGCATGTGTTTACAGTAAGAACTTTCAAAATGAGAGGTGAAATTGTTTATTACCAAACGATGTTGAGTTACTCAATATTATATTATTTAATATGTGATTTCCATTAAAGAATTTCATGAAATCAGTTTACACAAGCGAAAGAGAGCATAGAAATTAGGTCTAAGCTGCAGTGGACCCATGCATTTGTGTGTGACTGGGGGAAAATACTGTGCTAATTATTTTTAGATATCGCCCAGGCCTAGTGCTGTGAGCATCCTGACAAATCACAGCTCCAGATAAATGTTTCTGTGGGTGGTTTTATGAATTAAAGTATTCATGTAATCCAAAAAAAAAAAATTTTTTTTGTCAAAATAATGCACACTGATCTTTCACCATGTCACATTATTGATTTACAAATGGGTTTCTAAAACATTGCAAGGCATATCACAATATACACTGACCAGCCACTTCATTAACACCACCTTGTTTCTACACTCATTGTCCTTTTTATCAGCTCCACTTACCATATAGGTGCACTTTATAGCTCTACAATTACAGACTGTAGTCCATCTGTGTTAGCCCCTTTTCACCTCTCTTTCATGTGGACTCCCACAGGACCACCACAGAGCAGGTATCAGTGTTAGTGTGTGTTGAGCTGGTATGAGTGGATCAGACACAGCAGTGCTGCTGGAGTTTTAAACACTGTTCACTCACTGTCCACTCTATTAGACACTGATCTTGTTGGTCCACCTTGTAATGTAAAGTCAGAGACTGTAGCTCATCTTTTGCTGCACAGTTTGTGTTGGTCATCCTTTCGTCCTTCATCAGTGGTCTCAGGACGCTGCCCACGGGACGATGTTGGCTGATGTGGTCAAAAACTCCAGCAGCACTGCTGTGTCTGTTAAATTCATACCAGCACAACACACACTAACACACCACCACCATCCAAATAATGCCTCCTCTGTGGTGGTCCTGACCATTAAAGAACAGGGAAAAAAGAGGCTAACAAAGTATGCAGAGAAACAGATCGACTACAGTCTGTCATTGTAGAACTACAAAGTGCACCTATATGATAAGTGGAGCTTATAAAACAGACAGTGAGTGTAGAAACAAGCAGGTGGTTTTAATGAAATGGCCGGTCGGTGTACACCACTGTAATTGCAATAGTAGTATTTTGTCCATATAGTGCAGCCCTACCTCCTACCCATTTAAAAGGTCGTATTTCAACATAAATTTCCTCATTAGTCTTCTGTGTGTTGATTATGAGTACATAAGATGGTACAATAAAACGGTTGTGAAAAGCGTGTACCACTCTGGATGTCCATACTTCTCTGGCACCCGTACCCAGTGCTTTCTTAAGTGCAGAATGTGCGACCCACTGCAATGCCCCCATGCAAAATGATCTCTCCAGCACATTAACCCCTGTAATCTGCAGCAATAACAGTCTTGCCAAAGACTGCACTGTACAAACAAGGATGCATAAAAAGGTGCTTAGGAAAATGAAAAAAGACCTTCACTCAATTCAGCCTGTTGATTCCTCTGCAGGAAGCACTTTTAAAATTCTTAATCTTAAAGGTGAAGTTAGGCTAGCAGGACATGCACTGCCTCTTGTGTTTAACAGGTGGTCATTGCTTGCAAATTACCCCTTTTATAGAGAATTTTGCCATGAAATCATTTGAGAGAAAAAAGTGCAAAGTAAGTTTTTAAAACTTACACCCAGCCCCTAAACTACAAACAAAAAAAAAGCTGTGGAGATTTTTTTGGCTTGTTCCAATAATCAACTTCCTGAGCGAAAGAAAACATGTCACACCCCACTACTGTTCAGTTAAGTGCTGTAACAGCCGGTCTGTTCGACTTTAGCTTTAGCATGCGCTCCATGGCCGTGGTCCGAGGCTGAGAAACAGTCGTCGGAGTGGACGAAGTGCAGGGCAGTCTGGTTGTAGCTCTGCAGGGCCTGCTGCTTCTCCTCAGGGCTGTAGTCCAGTGAGCGAGGATGCACCTGCTGAATGTGTCTCTTAATTGTGCTGACCTTAAGCGTGGCCAGCGTGGCCCCACACACCATACAGATCAGCCCGTGTCTTCTGCAGTCATAGTCCATGAGATACTCCATTCGCCAGCGCACCTGGTAGTTGCGTCGCTGGTCCTTACCCGGGTAGTGCGTGTGTCTGTGTGTTGTAGATGGCGTGGTCTTCCTGTCCCCGTCCTCTGTCTTGATGGTGCTCTGCTTGGCGGGTTTTACGGACAATGTCTGTGTGCCTACATGTGCAGGTTCGGCAGTGGTATCACCAGGGATGACTTTTTTCCAAAAGACAATGAAAGACAAAGTTCTTCTTAAAAATTTTTAAATATTAAAAAAAAGACATTTTTTAATATTTTATTTACAACTGAGTGAACTGCTTTGTACAAGATGATACACTTAGGTATTTACAGATTAACCACCTCCACCTTCATATCTTTTTAAATGTGGGTGGTTGATCAGCCAAGACATGTTTGATGTCTGAAGTTTTAAACTTAAGCTACAAGGCTAATATAGTTAAAGTGTAAGTCGTGTAGCCAAAATAGTAGTAGCAGTCATCTCAAAGAGCTCGTATCATGGAAAACTGAATTTCTCTTGCTTTTTTTAAACGAAAGAGTTTAGTCTAGTATGTAAATGTTGTTAAGTACGTTTCGAAGCGTACTGTTCACTCCCCATATAAGGAAACTAAGATGTAAAAACAATCCATCTTGAGTTCACTATTTTTGCTATGTGAAAAGAACCAGCACAATTAAATACATCTGTCTTATTTATTGTATTTACCTTGTTCTGGCTGCATGTCTGGCTCCTCTGTGTCTCCATGCCCTGTCCAGGCCCTGGCTATATCTTGTCTCTCTCTCCGGCTGAGATTGATGGTCTCAGGGTGGCGCTCCTGGATGTGCCTGCGGAAGCTGCTGACTCTAGCTACTGGCAACTGCTCAGAGCACACCATGCAGTAGCAGCCTGGACTGTCTGGAGGCCCGAGTGCAACCAGGTAGTCCAAACGCAGATGCCAGGGGCACCCGTTCTTCAGCCTCCTGTTGGGGAATTGGTGTGGCAAGGTGTTTGGGTTTTGAGCAGCCCCTGGTGGCTCATCCTCACCCCCCGCATGCGGCTCGGAGCTGTCCTGCAGAGGATCCACGTCCGAGGGGAAGAACTGCACTGAGCTGTCGGCTTTGGTGTCTGGCTCTGATTTGAAATAGTCTCTTGAAGAATCTGATTCTGTGGTAAGAATGAGGGAGAAAAGTTAACACATCTTAAATCACAAAGAAGCGTTAAAAGACTGTATAAAAGTATACTGCATATTGTTTTATTGGCATACTGTAATCTAATGTGGCTTCATCCTTTGTATATTGTGCTGTAGCTCTTCTAGTCTTCCACTGCTCATACAGTCCTGAGCAAATATTGTAGGTCAGCCAAAGAAGTTGATTAAAACTATGTATCTAGGAAATAGATTTTACTGTTTTACTTGTAGAAACACTATATGACATGAAAACAAATATACATAAACAATTCAGGAAAAAGATAACGAGAATTTTGTTCTCAAAAACATTAGACGTCTCCTGAGATGGTTAGGAAAACACAGGTTTGGTTCTTCTTCTTGACACACCCCAGTAATTTGTTAAAAAAAAAAACAGTGCACTGGTATAATTGAATTGAACTACAAATACTGAATTGCCTTGAGGACAGGTTCAAATATTAGACTGTACTTTGCAAACAAATAACTGCTCTCCCAGATAAATAGCTTCAAATATCATTTTCTCAGGTGGCCTAAGACTTAAAGTACTGAAAATCTGCTCTTTCTGATTCCTCCTCTAAATCTTGCCACATTTTATTCTCTGTCTTCAATTCAACTAAACTCTCCTCACTTTCTTCCTCTATTCCAACCCACATCTTTATCTTGCACTAACTGAGGCATGTCTATATTCATTCCCCTGTCCATCTCTTCAAAATAGCTAATTATTTCCCCAATTCCGTTTTATTTTTCATCCTGCATTCTTCTCTCTAGCTCTATTTGTGTTGCTCACCATGGGTCTGGGCCCAGGTCTGCAGAATGCAGTGCTTTTCCTCTGCGCTGTACACCAGTGAATCTGGGTGCAGCTCTAGAACGTGGCTCTTGATGTGGTCCAGATGCAGCGATGGCAGCGGGCAGCTGCACACCATGCAGACCAGACGACCTGCTTCTGCCTGGTACTCCATCAGGAACTCCTGCCGGAACCAAGCGTGCAGGGAGTCGTTCAGGTAGCGCTCCAGCATCTGGGCAGATGGACCCTGAGGCTCTGGGACTGATGACGCTGATGGAGAGGCACTCGCTTTGCTGACTCTAGGCTGAGGCTGACGCTTACTTGTCACAGCACTGTTGGGTTTGCCTGGGGGGGGGTGGAGAGAGAAAAGATCAGAAACACATGGTAGGCTCCAACTGTAAATCTATAATGAGCTGAATAGGAAATATCTTAACACATTAAAACAGAGGTTTCCAACACTGGTCCTGGAGCAACATTAGAAATGAACAAGGACTCAGGGCAAAAGTGCTTAAAAAATACCCTGAAGTTTAAATATAAAGACAAAAAATGTCCTATTTTAATCTTTTTTGTATGTTATGTTTTGGGCTACTTAGAGATAGATCAGTCCAAGCAATATTTTGAAAAAAAGTCACTGGATCATTCTGCGACACTGAGGCAAATGATGTAAGATATTCCCAGTCAGATCTTATCCGCAAAGGGCCGGTGAGCTTGCAAGATCAGGCATAACCTCAAATAGCCCCTTATTCCTAAATAGTGCACTACCTGAGTCATAAATTGTTGGTTTTTATGCCCGAATAGTGCATTATAGACCAATAGGGAACTGTGCACACATGGCTGAATCTCAAACTGCTCTTTGTTAGGCATTTCATGCACCGTTTGGATGCAGGAGCCATTATTTAAACCCTGTGTAGTGCACTATGTTGGCAGTAGGGAGCCATTCAGCCTAAAACTAACTGATTAAACATAAAGAATCTGGTATGCTCATGCTTGTTTAGAATGAAAACCTGCAAAAACATTGGCCCTTTGCTAATAAGACTGAATACCCCTGATGTAAGTAAAACAACACACTGTTCTGATGATGTAATGAAAATCAGCACGTTTCAAGTATCGGCCCACTCATGCTGATGTTATAAGGAGGATTTAAAGCACAAACTGCTTTTTAAATAAAGCACAGTACAGGGCTGCCAGTCAGATCTGAAACATGGAGTACTTGTTGATTAAAAGGCCTAGACTCATCAGGGGTGAATGGGCCTACTGAAAAACATGAGAACAGCCAACACCGGAAACCAGGAGCACATTAATCTGTTGTGAAAATGGAAGATGAACTGGTTCAACATGCCCTCGTGAGAGGTCAAAGCAATCAAATCCTAGGGACAAAAATTAATTTCTGACTGGGCACCCATACACATATATATAGATATATATCACGCAACCTCTATAAGATCATGAATTATGAATACAAAAAGTATATCGCTTCACAATAAGATGTGATATGCCTTGTAAAACCTGAAAAACACACTGGTGAACTCTTGACATGATATGGAAAGATTCATTTCGAAATATCTACTAATAACAAGGTTTGAAAAGAATAGCATTATCATGTTATGGACTGTCAAAAACACATTTTGTTTCTGTACTGAAGGTGGTGTTATTTAAAGCACTGACATTCCTTGTATGTGTAAAGCATACTTCCAATAATGTATATCATAAAAAATTTAATTAATAGAAGTGGTGTTTAATGTGTTTTGGAAGGAAAGTCTGGCCTTAGTGTTATAAATAAATTGGAATTGACTGTAAATTATGGCCTTGGTTCATTCAACCACCCACAGAACTATTCAACTAGAGAGTGCTGTGAACACACGGAGCAGAAATAATCACAATTTAAAAAACTGGGATTGGTAAAAGGGCTCATCTGCATATTGCAGCCATCTGCAATATCAGTACTGCAAAGTTAAATGCTGCGATAACAATTAACAAACAATGACAATTAATGCCTCCCACACCTGTAGAGCGCTTTGCACAGTCGAGTGTCTCCTCTGGCTCTGTAGCGACAGCTGGGTCTGAGCAGAAAGGTTTCTGGCTGTTCTCCAGGTTCAGATGGCTCTCCCAGCCTGAGCGGATCACCTCCTTATCGGACGCGCTCCACAGCAACGAGTCAGGATGCTTCTGCCTAATATGCCTCTTAATGGTGCTCAGTTTTAGCGTAGCCAGTGAACTCCCACACACCATGCAGATCATACCATGCCTTCTTGGATCAAAATCCATCAAATACTCGCTCCGCCAGTACTCATGGTAGTAGCGGCGGTGGTCCCGGCCAGGGATGCGGCTGAGACCAGGACGTGAGGCCCGCACGGGTTTAGCCGGAGTGGCTTTCTGTCCAGATGGCCCCGGGACGGGGGACAGAAGGAAGGGGGAGTTGGGGCTTTCAGAGATGCTCCAGTAGCTTGTGCCAGGAGAGCATACAGGAGTGACCAGACCATCATCTCCAATGTGTCCATTGGTCATGTCATCTTCACCTGAAAAAGAACAATGACAAATCTGCATCAATCCCCAGTCTTATTTTCTCATTTTAGGGGCTAGAGATCACCAAAGTCCTGATAACAGGTTCTTCTACATTTAGCTGCACTCTTATTATGGATTAAAGGAAATATTTATCCATTGTTGTCCCGAACCATGTTTTCACCCTAATCATATGTGGTTAAAAGGCACAAAGTCTATTATTTGTTTTGTCTACAGAGTTTTGGCCTTTCTCATAATGGAAGTGAACTGGGATTTAGGCAGCAGCTTGCAGTGATGAACTTTGTTGCCTAAAACTGAGCATGCATATCACCAGGAATCTTCTTGTACTCTGACTGATTACTCAGAGGGCCAGAATTTATTTTGAAAGAGTGGTGACCAAGGAACCAGCTCAGAATGGAGAGGTACATGCAGGGAGTTGTAAGGCAAAATAGTATCCAAAGGAAACTTTTTTCAGATTTACCACTATTTTATCATTATCAACATTTCAAAGATAAGCTCTAAATTTAGTTCACTAGTCATTTTGGACAATAAATAAAATGGGTATTATTTGCATTGCAGACATTGCACCCCCTGGTTCCTATCACCACCATTGTACATAAAATCTGAGTCAGATTCTCTACCATCAACTATATCACATCAAACAACTCTGAATGGCTTTGTTTACATCTTGACGATTGAATTTTGTAGAACTTTAGAAAGAAAGTTCTTAGGTGCAATTCTCCTTTAAACAGTATTTGCTATAGTTATAAGTGGAATAAAGCAGAGCACATTATTTTCATAAGAGTCTGTGCACAGGGTCACATTACATTGACTGCTTTGGGGAGACTGGATTTACGTCACGGGAACTGTAGGTCAGGGGTCATCAGCCAGAGTCCAGCCCAGTTTAGAGATTTCCTCACTCAAACAAATCAGTTAATTACTAGATTTAGCTGGTGTGTTTGAGCAGGGAAATCACCTCAATGTGGTGGACTCTGGCCCTCCAGCTCTGGAACTGATGACTCCTGCTGTAAGCCAATAGGACTTCAGCTCCTGGTCTGGGAATGCTCCTGTTCTGCAATATTGTGGTGTTTTCTCACTATAACACATCCACTTCATCTCAAAAGGGCTTGCTACTTGTTAATTAGCTATTTAGTTGAATCAGGTATAACTGGTGTAATATGGACTTTCCCCTATAAATATGTTCTTAATAACAAAACGACAGAGCTGCTTTATAAAACATACCCTGCCAGTGAGACTCTGAGAAAGTGTTTTGATGTGTGTGATGCATGTGACATTTGTAAAATGGCTATTTTTCCATTTTGTATTTGCTTATTCATTTTACTGATCTCTTTCTAGACATGGAAAGAATGATTGGTAAAAAAAAATTCTGTTCAGTGCCACAATATTTTATTAGTCTTTGTCTTTATTATTATTTAACCCTGATGAGCACTTTATAATAAACGTTATCACAATACCAGCTAAATCATATATACACAGAATCATGTGTTCCAGGAAGATGTTCAATACATGATTCGTACTCACAGATCTGTGTAATTACCTATCTATATTGATGAGCTTGTGCTTTCAACACAGTTAGAAATTGTGTAAATCTATTACTTTGATAAGGTTTTTAAAGTATATTTAATTTCCAACTTATGTTTTTTTATCTTCATTATTTTGTTTTTGCCCTTTTGTTCCTGACATGTAACTGTCTATGGTGTAAGCTCTATTGTAATGTATGGCTCAGTGACGTAACTACTAGGGGGGAGCAGAGAGGATAATCACACTGGGTCCCATGGGCGAGGCGGCCCACTGCAAGCACACACACACACACACACGTCATCGGGCGGAAGGCAGGATACACCCTGGACAGGTCGCCAGTCCATCGCAGGGCAGACAGACATAAACATTCACCTAGGGGCAATTTAGCATGTCCAATTAGCCTGACTGCATGTCTTTGGACTGTGGGAGGAAACTGGAGAACCCGGAGGAAACCCATGCAGACACAGGGAGAACATGCAAACTCCACACAGAAAGGACCCTGGTCACCCGGCTGGGGAATTGAACCCAGGCCCTTCTTGCTGTGAGGCGACAGCGCTATCCACTGCGCCACCATGCCTGCCTCCACTGTAAGCAGTCCCTCTAAAATCTTTCTTGGACCCCTGACATAGCTCACTCACGACTTAGAGAAAGATCCAATTCTTTACATACCTCACCAGTTACCTTCCATCAACACTACGCAGATGATCCTGACGTCTGTTTATCTCCCTCCTATTCACAATGCATCTCACAACCTTCACAAACTGCTGCATGATATATTCATTATTTACAACTCTAGAATCTTAACCAGGTAGTCTTACACAAAAATTCAGGTTGGTCTCAGGTGCTAGAGGGTGGAGTGGTGGAGAGCATCTTCTTTGAGACATAACAACAGCAAGCAAATAAGCAAATTACATTGGCTTTATTATTCATTAAGTATTTTTCTATGGGGTGGACCATTATTTTTTCTGTGCTGATCCTACACTCAAATCGTTCAAGAGTTTTTTTAGTAAAAGGAATGGGACGTTTCATGCTTAAATGGTTCTTTGCATGGTGAAATGGATCTTCAGATTGATGGAGAATGGGTGGTATATTGTAGTATATGGAACCTTTTTGACAATGGTTCTATATAGCACCAAAATTAGTTCTTCTATTGTGATGATGTCAAACTTGTAGCAATGTAGCAAAACATTTTTACCATGCAAAGAACATTTAAGCATGATATGGTTCTAAATAGAACCATACCCTTTACTAAAGAACCCTTGAAGAACCATCTTTTTTAAGAGTGTAGTTATGCCACAGCTACGATCGTGCTTTAGTGCACAATTGACACGATCTGAAAAAGCTGAATTGGGTTTATTAGAGCAGGGAAAATGCTGCATAATTTAAACCCAAAATCTACGGTGGTCCCATAGGGATGTCCCTTGGCTCTCATCCTATTGGTCAGTTTTGACTTTGGGAACAAGTGATCTGGCTAACTGAGAAATCCAGTTTGTGAAATATGCCTCAGTGGTGGTCTACTCCAGGACCAGGGTTGGGCCCCACTGCAGTGGAGGAACCTTTTATTTTCCATAGGGCCACATGATGTGCGGCGCGCGGCCGCTGGGGGGCGCTGCGCCTCGCGGCAGCAGCAGCATGGCACTTCGCCTTTGTTTATAGTGGAGCCCGTGAAGCGAGGGGCCATGCTACTGCTGCCTGCTGCTATTGTTCCTCATACGGATTAACGCCGCACACGGACCGCTCCTCGACGCCCAAGATTTAAACCGTAGGCATATATGTGTATAAATACTTGTTGTTCTTCTTTCTTTTTATTATTATGACATGAGCACAGCCGTCTTTACCTGCCGAGGGCTCTCCCGGTGGTGTCGCCTCCCCTTCCACGGCGCTTATTATTAATGAGAGAGCCTGTGTGTGGGGCTGTTTGTGCTGGGGCTCCGGCTCCTTGGGCTCTTTCTCCTCCTCCATGCCTGCCTCAGCGTTGTTCCAGCGCGGCCGTTTCGCCGCTCCTCCTGCGCGGGAGGGAGACTGTCACGAGCGGACAGACTCGCAGAAGCACGCCGCGAACGGTTGTGAAAGCACGAGGAAGCCGCCTTCACCCATATTAACTACATTAGTGTGCGTGTGCGAGGTTGGTGTGCGCCGTGCTGCTCGCTTCACCCTCGGCGCCGTGGCGGCCTCAACAACTTCAGCTAACTTTTACGTGTCGCCGCGAGTTTCTGAGTCGCTCTCCGCTCCTGTCGAAGTCTTTCACGAGAGGCTTTTGTCAAATGTTGGTGAGGTCCGGGCGGCCTCCTGTGTGGGGGTTTCAGCCTCTGCTTTTCTTCAGGGTGGGGAGCCGAGCTTGGGGCCCCTGGGGCTCCTTAAGGGGCTCCTGGGTAAATTTAAAGAGACAGTAGCGGCTCCGTATGGGGCCAGTCTGCTCGTCGTGTTTGCGACCAGCACTCTCATTTAGCCACAGTGAGCCTTCAACCACACAGAATAACGTTAAAAACGTTACGACCACACGTGGAAAACAGGCGACATGGCATTTTTAAATGTGAGATTTGCACTAAACCATGAGCACATCCGTCTGTTTCAATACTAGAGGCTGACCTGTAGTCTGAAATATGTTTCAGGGCTCACAGGATGGACAGAAGAGGTGAAAATATAATATCACAGTGCAAGATACTTTCACGATGCACGACATATATTAGTTTTCTGAGGATTGATACGTTGAAACAGATAAAAGAGAGCCGTCAAAGCTATCTAAATAAAAAAAAAAATACTATCAAAATGATGAATGCACTGATTTTAATTCGTTGTTTTATGTTCTCTGCTGCACCAAATTAAATTAAATATGATGATTTTTGCTCCTTTTGTAGTAAAACGTGCAGTTAATCAGGGCTCTTTAAGTACTGACGATATCCAAGCAAGAGGACAGGCTCGTAGTGACGTCATTGTGACGTCATTTTACAGCGAACCTACTAACAGAAATTAGCTTTCAGCTTTTCCAAATATGTGAAATAAACGCAACCATTATAATCAGCATTAGATTTATTTTTTTTACATGTATATTTTTTATATTCATTTTTAAATCTTCCTCATAGAGTCTCTAAGGGGTCCCGGTTAAAAAGAAATGATCGTGTTTCTTCGCAATATTTTTGTATTCCGTTGCAAATGCAACAAATTAGCCAGAGAGTGCAGAATGGTTCCGGGGGAATGCAAAAACTTTGCAAGTGAACGCAAAACTACTGCAAGTGAAGGCAAAAACTTTGCAAAGGAATGCAAAAATATTGCAAGGGAACACATTTGTTGCAAATATTTTTTTTTCCACAGTGGCACTTTAGGGGCTCAGTATGTGGCTCATACAGTGGATACGTCAGTATTATCTCACAGAGAATTTACATTTTGACCCCAAAACAAGTCCGCTCATACAGTCCATTACACCTAAGGACAGCCTAATTCAGTCGTGTGGTCCGACGAAACTGCCTAACGACCCCGCGCCTGGTCCCCAGGGTCGACAGGGTCCTGCTGCTTTAAGAGTGCTATCTGTCCATGCGTTACGCAGTTCGTCACGCACACACGGCAACAACAGCAGCACCGAGTTCCGCCGCTGTTACATCCTGGTACTTTTGGCTACATGGCAGCGATAGTAGGGCTGAAAGGGTGAAGTAACTGCTGTGTCCTGACTGTGTTTTAAGGTCCAAACGTCCACAGAGCGCCGCTTCTTCTCCAACATGACGGCGGCTTCAGCACGCAGGCGCAGCAGGACTGAGGAGGAAGAAGGACCAGTGCGGTTATAGCTCAGACTCGACACCAAAACAGCGCTCTCATGGTGCGTTCCTTTTGTCTTTTTTTTTTACAAAGCCCATTCGTGTAAGAGTGATAGAACATCGTCAGATTAAAGAAAGGCTCGAAACGAGTGATAACACTGACTGAGGGACACGGTTTAAGACACACTGCCATGGCTGCGCCCCGGTTATGCCATTTGAACTACATTTGCTGTTTACAATATCCTGTACCTTTGCTGTTCTCTGTTCAAAGCTATGTTTCTCACTCCTTTCCTTTGTTTTTCTTTCCTTCTTTCTAAAGTTGCTGCATACTTCTGAGGCAATGCTGACACTTTTGACCATTACCTTTTGAGTGTTTCATGATGAACGTAATGGAAATTTAAATTAGAGTTTTTTTTCAATGTTTCTGCATCATTAAATGGTTTATGGTTTTATGAGAAATTTGAAATTCTAAATGATCAGAATTTTCTCAGCGGTGGCGAAGGGAACCAGACTTCTGAAGGTCTTAGTGCCACTGAAACCATATCTCAGACATCACGCTACATCATAACCACTTTAAATGTGTTGCGTGATGCCTGAGTGTTGTTTAAGGTATTGGTGTTGATTAAGGTAAAACATAGTTTTGCAATAAGCTTTTGGCCTAAAACATATCTTAAAAATCCATTTATGGTGGAGGGTTACCTGCAGGGATGAGGCAAAATAGTCTCCAAAAGAAACTTAGACTTTAAGATATAAAAACTCAGAAAGTACATCTAAGTTCACTGGATGTTCTGAATGGCAAATAAAATAGCTATGTTTGAGTTGTAAACATCACAACCCCAGGTTCCTGTCATCACCACTGTAAAGAAAGATTAGTCAGTAAATTTCTGTACAACACACCATTTCACATCAAACACTTACCTTATTCAAAAAATGTTGATAAATCAATGGAATTGCCTTTTAAGGCACAGTAGCTAAACCACTCTAGACAGTAGATAGATAATCTCACACTTCATTTCTGTAAATTTGACTATCTTCATGATGGTTGCTTTAAAAAACAAACTTCTTGCACCATAAAGCTTAAAACAGAAAACTCATTCAAATTCTTAGATAAGGACCTTTAAAATGTAAATGAAGCATTTCAAATAAAATCACGTAATAAAGAGAATTCAACTCATCCTAAACCAGTTATGTCAAATGCAGTGTTGATTGTTGGTGAAAATATTCATTGCCAAGAAGAAACTGATTACCTGTTTACTTACAAATGCAACAAATAAAGCTTTCTTAAGCTTACAAACTTGGCTAGATAGCCTGTTGATTGACTATGTTCCTCTAAAATGCTGCAGAATGCAGATATGAATGATTGTCTGTTTTATCCTGTACATCTATGTGGTTCTAATATCAATACAGATGATTCTATAGAGTAGAGCTCACCAGTCTATCTCCCAGAGACCTTCCTATAAAGAATGGTTTCAGTCCTAATCAGCCACACCTGCTCCCCACTTCTCACTACTGTGGAGTAATCGGTACTTGAAAGTACACCCGAAAAACTATAGTGTATTTGATTGTTATGCACATTGAGTTTGTGATATATTTTGTCATATCACGATATTTTAAGACAATGTCTTTGAACATGATTATCATCATGATATTTAGCTTTTCTGAAGTTTAGGAACAGGCAAAAAAAGAACCAGAATAGGATCAACAATTCTGAATATAGTTATTTATATTGAACATTTCACAAACTGTGTTTCACTAAATCCAGGTAATCAGGACTAGCTATGCCCTCTATGCTATGCCTAGGATCAAAGAAGCAATGGCATAGTGTGATGTAATTTATCATGATAACGAGAATAACCATCAAAATGCAAGTTGTGCAAGTGTGAATGTACAAAAACAATTTCTTTCTTTTTTTAGTCACAGGTTACAGAGTTGGCTGCAACTTCAAAAAACAAGGAACTATGCATCAGTCTTCAGTGCAAGTGCAGCCTTAAGTGGACCAAGAGTGGAAGATGGCCCCACACTAAACAAAATGTGACTCAACAGAAAGCCTTTGTGGTTAAGGTGGAGTGAATAAATAGCAGGTATGTCTAAGACAAAGACCCCAAATAAGCAACGCTATCGGCCAGTATCGGAATTTGATGAAGTCACCCTTGCTTGTAAAAGGGAATACTGGAGGACTAGGAAAAGGGAGCAGAGAGCAAGGCAGTCCATGGCCAAAAGGTTGTCCAAAAGTCCAAACACAGGAATATGCAAACCTGCTGTTACAGTTACTCAGACAAACAAACATGCCCCAGATATACCTCATTCCCAGTTTAGTCCTACTTTTCTTAATAGTGCTGGATCATACCAAGCTGATGTTACACAAAACCTGACCAACTCATATCGTTTGACACCAGAGAACAATTTTGAGACACAAATAAACCACAAGAGAACATGTTGTGAGAAGACTAAACTCAACAACGCCGTTCACCGGTTCCCTGAAAGGAGCACAGAGTCTAAAAGGTGTATGGTGATTCAAACTAAGGACATTAAAAGCCCTGAAGAACCAAATGTGGGGGGTTCATCGGTTAAGTGCAGTGGGATGCCACTTACCAACGGTTTACCTGTGCCTACAGCATTCAGAAAAGAACATGCAAACGTCACAGCAACACTGCAGACACACAATAGATTGTCAGCCTTTAATAACAAACTCTCAGACATTTCTCAGCGAAGTGCTGTATCCAGGTTTACACCAGAGTGCAACCAACAAAAGAAGCCTCAAATTAATAGCTGTCTACCACCCAGACCCTCTGCCTTTGCACAAGGTAAAGTCAATAAAGACCAGCACATCCTAGGGGGAAGAGGTGCCAGCCCAAAAAGAAAAGCGTGTGCCTATATTCCAGAAAGCTGTACAGCCCAGGGCAGAACTGCAGATATTCCCCTGACTGAGGAGGAGAAGGCTGCTAAACGTAGGGAGAACTGGCGCATCAAAAAACGAGAGCAGAGAGCCAAACGAGCAGAAAAGCTGAAGAAGGACAAAGAGAGGACACAGTCACAGTGTTTTGAAAATGGTCAGCAGAAAACAGGGAAGCTTTCCTGTGTTGTTCCAACATGCTCATTATTGTCTGTGAACACGCTGGTACCGAGAGAATCCAAGCAACCTAACTCTGTGAAGCCTGCTGGTCAAATACTGAGTGATGGAAAACCAGTTCATTTCACAAATCATTCATCACCATCTCAAAAGCAATTTCCAAATAAAAATCATTCAGCAAAAGTAGATGCCCAGATGGCCAAAAATCTCTTTTCAGTTTCAGCCAATAGAGCAAATCACCTGCAGTACTCAAAACCAAGTAATTTGTCCATATCTTCAGGATTTTCTCTGCAGTCTTCAAGCACGACCCAAGCAACTAACCAATCAAAAATCCAGCAACAGAATTTGGTGCAGGTTCAAAAAAGGCAAAGCTTACCACACAGCTTTTCGCAACGCTTCCCACAACAGAATGACCGTGTGGAGACAGCGGAGGAGCGGCATGCTAAGCAGAGGGAGTACTGGCGGATCAAAAAGCGGCTGCAGAGGGCGAGGCTCTCTGTGGAGGCGAAATCACGTTTGAAGGAGCGAGATGCACTTAAGAGGTGCGCATTGCGCTTCCAGAGCAACCTGGAGCAAGTGCGAAAGACTCAAACAGGCTTCCAGAGACCAAACAAAAACACACTTAATGCTTCAGGAACAACTAGTGGCTTTATTAAAGAGGACGGCACCGTATCTGTACCTATCTCGAAGACTTCTGCTGAGATACTTCGACCAGCTACGAGTTGCAGTGTACGTGCTGTAAAATCATCATACCTAACTAGTCCAAGAACCTCACTGTCACAAAAGCCAGTTTGTGTCAGAACCAGGACTGCTGCACGTGGAATTACAAATCGCATGAATTCTTCAGTGAATATTCAACAAAGGTCCACTGATCAGAACACTTCAACTGTTGATTCTCAAGTCAGGTCAAAACCAGCTAGCAGTACAGCAGATGCTGATGTTCTCACAGGTTCGACAGAGGCAAGCAAGGGTGAAGAACCAAACCAGGAGGATAGAACAGATTATAGAAAGAAGTTGAGAAGTTCTTATTCTTCTTCAGATGTTACCCCAAGTTTTGACTTGGTGCCCCACGATACTATAAAACAAGAACCTAGTTATCCCTCTATTGAATCTGTATATTCTCTTGCAGAACAAAGTCACAGTATGGATAACAAAGACATCAAACCTCTACCTTCCTCTCCTCCTGAGACCAAGGTTGAGAAAGAGGCTTCTCCAATTTGTGACAACCAGGCCACCACTCTCTTGGTGGTGGCCTCTATGAAGAAGCTACTGGAAGAATCTCTCAGCTCTGTGGCTGACACTAATACCTCTTTTACAGATCAAGATGCACTTCTGCCCTGTAAAACTGAACAGGAACTCTCTCCTCAGGAGACAGAGACAAGCATAAAACCTGACATTATTTCACATCATGGAGCAGTGGAGTGTAACTTCTCTGGGTTCGCTAACCCCTCCTTAGAGGTCAAACAGAGTCCAACTCTTTGTCATTCTCCCCCTCAGGCCCCTGGCTTTTCTGCTGAAGACACTGTCCTTTCATGCCAAGGCTCCTTGCTTGAGGCCCCTCATACTGTCACTACCGAAAGGTTGTGCTTTAGTCAAGGTCCCGAGAACAGAACACATGATCTGTCAGTGGCTGCAAGTGTGACACCTGTACACACAGGCACCCAAGGACACAGTGGCAAGACAGCAGGATCTTATCCATGTTGCCCCTTGCGGGCCAGTGGAGGGCAGCAGCTGAATGAGCGCAGTGAGCTTCAGAAGAAGCGGGAGTACTGGCGAATAATGAAAAGAAGACAGAGGGCCAGGAAGGCCAAAGAGAAGGAGAGAAGCAAATATGCTGTGCAGCATAAACAACTTTCTCAGGTATCACATTATTCTGGCATCTCTTACTTCAGCTCAGCGCTGCAACTAAAGGTTTATCTATAGTTGGTTAATCTAATGCCGATCCTGGTCCTGGAGATCTACCACCCTACACTGTTTAGCTCTTACCCTAATCTAATTCACATGATCCAGGTAATGAAAGACTTCATTCCTTAGACCCAAAGCTGTTTTGTCTGATGTCTTGAACTTGATGCTGTGATCTGAGGATGTCCTAAAATACACAGCGTACCATAGACAGCTTTTTGTACAGGCATTACGCCTACCTGCCCCAGCTGTACATATTGCCAGCAGTAAATAAGTTTTTACCATCACTGTTAGACGTCAGAGGGCACAGATCTGGTTGGATCTGAACTCTGCAGAGTGGTAGATCTTTAATTAATCAAACCACTGGCTTTGCAGCACTAGTCTTCAGTTATATGTACTGTGGTGTTTTTTCTGTATTTTTTAACTAAAATATATTTAGCCACTGATATCTTTTTTTTTATTATTGTTTTTTTTTATCCTTCAGCCAATACAGAGGAAATGTATCAGCTCTCAAGTCCAACACCAATTTGTAGCTAAGCCAGCGAGTCACACAAACCTCAATAATCACTCAGTCCTACCTGTTGTCCCTTTACGTCCCACTCGGCTTGTGTTGAGCCCCACTGCATCAAACCAACAGTCAAACCAGCAGTCGTCAAACGGGAGCAAGGCTAAATTTTCAGAGACATCTCAGGTGAAGAAATGGCATATACAAGCAAGTGCTCCCATGTTATCCTCCAGACCAGATACTGTGACATCCACACTAATGAATCATGTAAAGCCCTCTGGTCCTCAAGTGCAGATTAGAAGGCCCTTCATGACCAATTTAAAAAATAAAAGCCGCTTTAAGGCAACTGCAAACCAAGAACTAGATCCTGAAGAGATTTTAAGGAGGAAGAGGATGCACTGGAGAATAAAGAAGCAAGAACAAAGAGCGAGGAAGGCTGCACGAGAAAGAGAACTTGTCCACACTGCAAAACTCTGCCACTCTGGACTCGACTCCTCCAACAAGATTACAGAGCTTGTTCAAAGGTAAGTAAATAGATAGACCTACTCATGCTTTTTCCACCTCTTATTCCTGATCAAACATGGGAGACTGCATTAAAAACAAAGTCTCATTATTTTGTTTTCATTGGGAAATGGCTTTAAGGCTCTGATGTGATTAAGGATATGCCTAAATAAGGAGGTGGTAACTGATTTATGCAATTAAATGAATATGTAAACTAACTCCCAGCTTAGGTCAGTATAAACAAGCAAAAGTTCAGTGTACACAGAAGAGAAAGAAGCACATGATTTAATTAGCCTTTAAAGCCAATAATCTAGATGCTAATCTAGATACAGCATGTACAAAAAATGATAGATGCTAACAGGGAAGTGGTCTTTAAAAGCCAAGAAGTAGTCTGGCAAGTGGAACCAAACAGGGAGAAGGAGGAGCCTAAAGTAACCACGATGCAACTGTTTAATCTTGCAGCAGTTGCAGCAGGACTTAGGTAATTGTCTTGGTACCCAAGAGAAAAAGAGAGGCATACAAGCACCACATAATACTCAGCTTTATGAAGCTATACATCTTATGCGATATACAGTACTCTAAGGAAGTCTACACTTTCAGGAAAAAAGCAGAAAACGTATATAACTGATTAGACAGAATTCTCAACTAAATATAACAAAGTTTTCAGTGTTTAGTCTGTCCACTCATTGGGTTTCTTACGACTTCCGTTCTTTTCAGGAAACATGCTTTGTTTTTCAAAGAAAACTCCACAGATATTTTTTCACACCTCCAAAGTTTTTTTCTGATACTGAAAAATGATTAACTAGTATTTAATGGCTGTTTGACTGGAAATTGAATATACAAAAGGGTGATCTATGACTTCTGCACAGTGCTGTAGCACTGGATCTGGCAAAATGTCAACGAGAACATAGCACTCCTTACCTAAGGAAAATTATAAAGTTATATGCATACCTGTCATTACTTTGTATGTGAGAGAATTTGGATGTTTTTTGGATGCCATTGCAGTACCCCATCAGAGAGACTGGACTACCTCCCGCAGTGCCAGGATACATCTTTTAAAGGTATAGTAGTTTTGACCTTAAAGCTTTAAAAAAAAATTCTAAATAGCAGATCATTTGTTTTCGGACTCCTTTGAGTCTTGTTAGCACTACAGTTCCTCTTTAGAATGGATAGACACAAATTTACTTAGTAGGAGAACAACTCGTGGCCAAATTCACAGGCAAACTTACAAATGACTTGACAGTCATAAACCTGAAATACCATTTCAGACACTTTTATGTAACCTTAAATAAACATCTGCTCAAAATGTACGATTAACAGAATAAATGGAGCATAGTCTCTTGACTCACCTCATCTCAAGTGATGAAATTACTTTCCAGATGAAGCAGAGTTGTGTTTTGTTCCTGGTGACGACTGCACAGATGAGCCCTTATCAGAGGCCAAGTGGAGGAACACCTACCTAATGGATTATGATCCCATCAACCAGCTGCTGGTCTGCATGGTTTGTGGGCAGCAGCAGTATTGCCTTAGTGTGGAAGGAGTAAAAGCTCATATAGAGGAAGCCCACCCAGGTACTCTGTCTCTAGAAGAGAGGGAACGCCAAGGCATCCTCCAGGCCTGGGATGAACAAATCGCTGTGAGAGAACGCTTCTTCACCAACCAGCTTTGGCAGCAGAGTAATGCCCCCAAAGGTAAAAGAATGTTTTAAAGCAGTGTTTTTATATTCTGCTCTGCTTTAATTCCCTCTGCTCTGCGCAGTGCCCCAACATACCTGATCCAGCTCATAAAGGGCTTGATAATAAGCAGTACTGAGGAGCAGGATTAAAAAACACTGTATGAAAGCAATACTCCAGTATTTTTTAACCTGCCATGTTTTTATTGTGCATCCATTACGACAGTCTTTCCCTTTTCATTCAAAACTCGCTCATAATAGAAGCTACTGTGGAATGAATATATAACATATTAAAAACTGTGGCCTTTATACACTAACGAAACAAGTCTTGGAATGAGACAGACATACAAGAATTCTCACCAAACATTTTCTTATGAATTTTATCCAACTTTTGAACACTACAACAAAACAATGGAAAAAGTAATTCTGGTCACTTGTGCTTTGATTTTCTGGTATTCATGGCGATCAGAAAGGAGTTGTTTTTTCCCCACTTTTTTTGGTTTGTAACAGAGTTTGTTAATACACCACAAGAAACATGGATAAGTTATTTAGGAATGTGTGGCCAGCACTTGAAATCAAAGGACTACTCAAGAGATTTGAAAACAAAATTAAGGATATCCAACAGTGATTCCATCTATAGTCAACAAAAATGGATATCAGATGCAGTTACCACAGTTATACAATTGCAATAAGATATTCAACCTTTTGGCATCCTTATGCATTATTGAGAGAGTGAGGGGGAAAAAGATTTGCACCCTGACGCTTGTAGTATAATAAGTAAATTTGAAGTCAGTAGGTTTTCTGTTCTTTTCTAAGTACAGATAAACATACTGAAAGTAATCAAGTGTACAGTACAGATGTGGCTGATTGAGATTAGGCTGAAAAATGCTGGAGTATTCTTTTAAAGGCAAAATTTTTTTACCAGTCAAGATATTTGTACCAATCTATTGTTACTAAGAGAGATCTGCTTTCCAGAGGTAAGCCAGATGCACACGGCTGAGATTGAGGTGATTCTGGATGCGGATGACAAAGCGAACCAACGTGAACGTCTTTAAAGACCAGCAGCTCTAGAAAGCGGTGACCTCTGTTTCAGGTGAGAAAGCCTATGAGTCTAGGCTCCCTCACCACAATTCTCATCTAAGACAACGAAGGACGCTGTGTGTCTTGCGTAATAGAATGACAACGAGGAAGGGAAAGATAGTGTGAGAACCTTTTTTTGTTAAATAAAACACAAAAGCACCGTGTAGCCTCAAAGGCATAATCCTCTGAATTGCCTTAAGACCCACTTTCCTCCTTTAGGTTCTCTTTTAAGGGAGACACCTAATATATATGCTATGTTTTTCTATCTTTTCTATCTGGTTTGTACTCTTGAGAGTGGAAAATGTGTATATATACATAATTTGATTGTTTATACATTTGATGTACATTTCATTTTTGGATTCAGCATAAAGGCCTGATAAGCTCTTTGATCTATGGAGCTTTCAAGAGCTGAGATGTCCTATTAAACAGACTTTAAATCTCTAAGTGGCATGCAGTTTACTCTGTTCTCTTAAGCCTGGTTCTTTACTGAACATTCTACTGAACTGAACAGTTCCTTCTTCTTTTAAATTTTAAATACTGTTTCATACTGAATACATATGCACACATCTCTGGAATGTTACATGATAGACTTGGCAATTAATACGCAGCCATTTGTATGAATAATGTATAAGTATGCATTTGCAATACATATATTGTACAGTTTAATTATTCTGTTGGAACTAATGTCTTTTTTTCTGGGAAAATATTGTGCCTAGTATTTATATAAAGATGCATATAAGTTTACTTTTGCCTTTTGCATGTTAAGTATGCTGTCTGTTTCTAAATTGAAGTTATCCATTCAAATTTTAAATAAAAAAACTATAAAGCAAAGTTTCTGAAAAGGGGGATTTGGGATGTGCTTGCCTAAACCTGTCACAAAAAAAAACTAAATCTAAGGAAAAGGCAAGTTGTCTAGCTAACACGGATTTTGTAATTTAAGGAGTAGCAAAACGAGTGGGTTTCAGTGGGTTTGGTCTCTATGGAAGGATGGGAGGATGAATGAAAAAAATCAGATCTGGTAGTTGTGGATCAAAAATAAAATGGAAACTGAGGGATGTGAATAATAGGGCTTCTAGTGAAGAAAAACAAATGGGTATGTGCCTAAATGAGGACAGCCTTATTATCTATACCAGCTTTGATCCTCCCCTAACAATACATGACTTAAAAACCAAAAGTGATGTATAGAAATCTGTGCATAAAGACACTTAATAAGAAATACAAAGAAATAAAAATAGGAAAGTTTAATCCACGTTCATTTCTGTTTCACCAAAAAGATGGATTGTAATTTGTTTTGCGATGATGGTGACTCGTGATAGTTTGAGAGATTCTTTTATTTGTGTTCTTGTAATGTGAATTTTTCTACTCATGGCCTTTCCACACCCATCATTCTCACTTTTCAAGAGCAAATAAAGATTTTTGTACCTTTCTGCCGATTTCATGTTGCTTTGCATAATAAAACAAAGTACAGACTAAAACTCATTCTGCTTTCACAATTAACAGAAAGACCTATGATACGGCAAGTAAACAAATGTCCATCTGCAATTTCTTGTTCATTTATCCTGGCCAGATGATTTCACTGGAGACTATTCAAAAACATTCTTAAAAACATTAAGCACTACATGACGTACAAAGGTTTTTTTCATATACATTACACTCACATCTGAGCTTTTAATGGACTCTCATGTAGTATGTAATTACAGATAATATGCTTGATCCTTTTTTATTTTGCCCAGAATCCCATCAGGATATGACATTTGACTGAGCTAACAGTAATACAATAACTGTTTTTAAAGATGTCTTGAGTAAGACCCTTTAGCTGGTATCAACATATATTTTTTAAAATAATCTTTAAATGAGGTCAGTGAAGGTTAACAGGGCTACCGCAGTAACCCAATGGCAGTGAAATCTCATTTACTACCGTATTAAAAACGTGTCATCAATTTATTGATTTATATTATGCAAACCATAGTAAGAAACTAATATGCCCACATATGAACATAACTGAGCTTTCAAACATGTTAGGTGAATTGATATCCTATATAAATACCACATTTACTGTACCAACCATAGATGACGTTGTAGAAATTAAACTGTTGAGCTGTGCTGGTTAAATGTGCTCAGTGAGGCAGGCAGATTTTGTGTTGGGACATCGGGCTAAGAGCAGGACTAGAGTTCAGACATCACACAAAATAGCTTCAGGTCTAGGGAAAAACAAGAGTAATATCATTTCTCAGTCCTCATAAATCAGCTGAAACAGGGTGTTTAACAATGGCCTCAGAGAAGGCGGCATCAGGATAAGCTAAGTGGCTCTGGAGGGTAAAGTTAGTCTGACTTTCACAATTTCTGTTCTTTATCACTAGATTAATTATAGGTTTGTGATCAAACTGAATATATCACAAACTATAACCATAAGTTTTACTCAACAGAGCTTTGATTTCACAAATATGTAGGTTCAACTCACACACCATCAATGCTTGCACCCATGTCCACTTCAATGTTGTTGGCATTTTAAAATTAGCACATCAAAGTGACCTGACCCATTTTAACTTTTGGCTTTCCCCTCAGTTACCCAAATAAGAGGACTCTGTTACAGGCTTGGGCCTACTTTAAATAAAACTGCCAAAACTGAGTTTTGAATACAACCAAAACAAACCAATCCACAATACACCCTGGTCAGAACGTGAATAAACAAATTAAGAGTAAATATGTATGCTGTATTTTTTATTTGTGTTTTAGCCAGCATCAACGGTCTTGTTTTAGGTTAAATAAGCTTCCTGTATTTAATCAACAAGTTATAACCTCAGGGAAAAAAAAACAGAAATCAAACACTTTGTTAACAGAAGACGCATCTACACAAATATCTTTATTACCATTGCAGTTTGAGAAGAGTCTCACTACCGTCCACTCACTGTTTTATCCCCTGTGAGCGCAGCGTTTCCTCCTCTATGAAGTGCTCATGTTCTGTTCCTGGTTCTGCATTTTGCTCAGGGCTGTGCTGCACATCTGCAGCCGTCTGGAGCTCTCTGGTCCCGGACTCCAGGCGAAACACGGTGGGGATCTGACCCAAGACAGGGTTGGTCTCCTGCAGGCCGCAGATCCATCGGGCAAGGGTAGCTTGGTCACTTTGACCTGCCATACACATGGCATAGATGGGACCTTCCTCAACTGGACGAAAGAGGATCCAGTAAGATATCAGTTACCTCAGCCAACAGTATGCATTAATATAACAATCATGTGTTGTTAGTCAGGGATAGCTAGAGAGGCCAACAGAATGCAGCGTACTAAGGTCAAGAATAATGTCATTTAACATTTTAAAATCTAAAAAACCTTACGAATTCTGCACTCACACACATCACATAAGGGTGTACTGATTTCAATACACTGTTCAACACACAGTGTATTGAAATTTAAAACTGTATCACTGATATGACCCTCTGTCTCTTGCAAGGGTCTTGGATTTATCATTTTTTGTGGAAACCACTGTCAGTGATCAAAATTAGGATTCTGGGTGCAGCCCATCAGAGTGAAAAGGGCAAGAAGGGGTAGGGGCTTATCTTAGAGAGGCACTTACAGTTACATGACAGGGCTTTTTATAACTTTTTAAATAATTTTTGGGGTTTGTTTTGTTAGAGGGCAGCGCGGCAGGCAACTTTTATTGATCTGAGTCAAATCAAATGTGTAATGTACAATCGTAAATCAATTATGAATTAAGTGCAATATACAATTATGAAACATGCATGTAGGTTGTGCGTATGGTGTAAACATTAACATACGAAACATGGCACACTTGCAGGCACTCATTTTTGCTGTACCAAAAAACGTATCGAGATGTATTGCATCAAATCGAATGCTGAATTTTCTTATTGTCAACCCCTATTTACATGGTAATTTCATAGTGGTTACTGAATATTTCATAGTAGTTGCTCAATAACTAGCCTTAAAATGACTACATACATAAACCTATTAGTTTAACACAGGGGTGGGTAGCTCCTGTCCTGGAGGGCTGGATTCCTGCACAGTTTGGTGATTTTCCTACTCAAGCACACTTGATTTAACTCATCAGCTAATTACCAGGTTTAGCTGGTCTGTTAGAGCAGGGAAAGCAACAAACTATGCTGACTCCTGCCCTGTGCCCAGCACATTTAGTGTTTCCTCTGCTCCCAACACACCTGATCCTTCTAATAAGCTCATTAACCAGCCCTTAATGACTTGAAGTGGATGTGTGGGGAACTGGGAAAACAGTAAAATGTACTAGACAGGGGGTACTCCAGCACCAGGGTTGAGAACCTGTGACGCAGACCACAGCACATTCGCCATGTAAAACATCATCAGGTTCCACTGAATCTAGTTGCATGCAACTCTACAAAATCAGATGTACATGCTTTTAAGTCCATCTGTGTGAATACTAATTCTAGTTTAAGCTCACCATCATCCACATCAAAGCTGTCATCATCCCCCAAGTCTCTGTTAAGGTCAAGGTCAATACGCTGAGGGTAAAAGAAGCTCTGCTCTGGACCAATCAGTTCAGGATCAGGCTCCTCCTCTATCTAGATGGAACCCATGCAACAGAACAGAGCAGTTCAGCAAGAGTGAGGACAGAGCGCTAACTGTTCATTTTAATCTGCATGACCTAGCAGACACCTTCAACTGGCTAGCACTTTGTAAGTTATTAAGATACTCTGATGGATAATAACGATGCAGTTCATAATCACTAAGGGTGCGCAAATTCAACCGTTCTTGAATGTCTGCATTTTTAACCAATGATATTTAAATATTTAACATACTACCACTAACAGAATGACAACTTGAGTTGCATAACTCAACATAATACATTCTAAATTTGTCATGTGTTTGTTTCCATATATAGCCCCACTCAGATGTCTTCATTTTGCTTAACGTGAGATGCAGTAACAGCGGCTTGTGTCCCAACATTCTGTGATTCTACGCACCATGCTCTCTCAAATTTTTTTTTTTTTGGTTTTCACACAGCTCTGAAAAAAAGATCTACGTCACACTAAATCCAGGATACAGTTCGGAACAATTCCACTCCTAATTTTACTCCTAGTTTCACTCCCTAATTGCCCCTATTGTCAATTTTCAATCTGCAGCAAATTTCCAGGTCGGGAGTTCAATCAGAAATGAATGATGGCGAGGATGATCTACAATAAATCCTCTGACATTTTCAAACATGTTTGATGTGTATGACTCAAAACATTGAGTTCCACAGTATGAGGTGGTCCATGGCCGCTTCAACCTTGTGATGTGAATCTAGCTTTATAGTACCTTCTCCTCAGGAGGGACAGGGTCAGCCCTGAGCAGATAATAATGAACACACGTCTTCCTGAGCCAGAGAGGAAAGGGGCCCTCCACAAACACAGGTCTGTTTGGGTTATGCTTGGCAAGCAGAGAGCGCTGCTCCGGGCTTTGGATTCCTGTTATGAGTGCACAGAGACTGAGCTTAAAGGAAAATGTATTTTATTATTATTTTTTAAACCCTTAAATCATCTCACATCTGACTCTAAGTCATACAGTATATGTTGCCAACTGTGCTGGACAGTGGCCCTCCAACTACCAGAGCTGTGCAGCCGTGCTCTAGAATAAATGAGTATTTTAGACCTGACTTACACTTACAGTGCTGAAGTTATCTAAAATCACTCGGTTGCTTTAAAGTTACTTTGAAATAGTTTACAGCACTAATTCATGTCACTGGAGAAATGTTTTGTCTGTTGAATAAGATTCCAGCTTGAAAACCAAAGAAATGCCTACCTACAATATGAGGTTGAGTGATTTCCTCTCCTGTCTCTGTGATGTCTGTTAATGGAAGCTGAAGACAGAGAAGACAATAAGTAAAACTTCAATGCAGAGCATCTGAATCACAACATCTGGCTTGAAAATATATCTAACGGTTTTCCTGTGCAGCATTAACACTCCTATATCTGTGATTCACCATTTCAAAGTGTATTTACATTGTTTCCTTTGTAAATCCACATGGCTGTCAGACAGGTTTCTTTAGTAGTAAACAGTGTGAGCAAAGAGTGTTCTGCATGATGTCTTTTTGAGCAGTAGTGTAAGTAGAGAAAGATATAAGATTGTTTAAGATTTCAAGCCACTGCTGTCTTCACAACCCTCTTATCTGTAACCTTTTCCAAAATTTTATTTTTACAATTTGAAATTTTCTTTAGTCTAGTTATATTTTCATGACAACTGTTTAGTGTTAACTAAAATACCACAAAGCAAGAATGTAACACTTCATGACATTGTTATATTGTGATGCAAAACTGTGACAATGTGCATGGAAGAGAATGGGCATTCTATAAATTGTGGCACTGAATGCAAATGTACTGTTCAAACACCAAAGACTGCAAATGATCAGTATCAAATCAAATCATGAGCAGACTGCCATCGTTACACCCCTAGTACAAAGTGATATGAAGGACTAAATGTTGCTATGTCTGGCCATACAACAGAAATGTACTGGAAGACTGGTATGCTCAACATATTAGACTGCTAGGCAGTGATAGCAGTTACCTGATAAACACTAATTTCAGCATCCAGGTCATTAGTGATTCGGGTGAGACTGAAGCGTGCAAGGTCGACAGGGTCTTGCGGCAGCTCGTAGGGCACTGGGAATGGGTTTGCATTCTTGAACTTGGGAAACCAATACATCATACGCTGGTACTTTCTCATAGGGTGGCTCTTTTCTCCAAAGATCTGAACAAGGAGGACCTTTGTTTCCACATTAGGCATGATTCCTGGTGAAATAAAGATTAGAAAATATAAAACAGCAATGTGTACCAGTTTTTCCCACACAAAAACACTGACAATGAAACTCACATGCTTACAATTATTGCTCATAACTGTGGTATACAAGATGAATTTCTTTATATAGAACTATAATTCACTGTATACCATCACTGTCCTATCAACAGCTTTGAAAATGACAGCTGTACTTTATATTGTGCAGGAATTTCATAACAAAAGGATTAATAGAAATGGTCCAAAATGACTTGGAATAAAACTTCAGTTAAATTAATGTACATTGAAAGTTAAAATTGACTTTCCTTCTCTTGTAAAGTTATAATTTAATAGATATGAGGTTTTGTAACGACAGCAAGAACATGTACTATAAACATTACATCAAATTATTTAGCACAATATTATTTTTCACAAATGATTTTGTCCACTTTATCTGTAAGCAATGCAAATTGCCAAGTTTTAGGTCTTTCACTGAGATTTACAGAATTATGTCATGATATTGCACTCTTGTGTGTGTTCGATTTTGTGCGGGTTTATCCGTCTTTTTAAATAAGTGCCTCAGCTCAGCACCTGACAAGTAAAAAGGAATTATTATGACCAGTGTAAGTTCTGGGCCAAAGAAAAGGACAACACCGCACATACCGTAATTTTCCATCTGCTCTAACACCTGCACTCCACACTCCTGCTGCCGGGGATAGTGATTGAACATCCTCTGAATAAAGTTCCGCGGCACAAAAACCTCTTTGGGAAACACATCCAGGAGTTTGTTGTAGACAGCAATGTCCCGTTCTACTCCAAATTCTGGCATTTTCTTCAGAGCAGCGTATATAAACTCCACATGTCCACGCCGCCGGATGTCCTTCTTGTTGAAGACATCGACTACTCTATTGAAATTAGCTTTGGTCTTTGCATCCTTAGCAGCCTGTGCAAACAGGTCATCGTGTGTGACCAATGACTTGTCCTTTTTCTCAGTCTCATGCTCAAATATTTCTCGAAGATCTGCACTGTCTGGCTTGTTCTTGTAAACTGATGAACCACAATGAATCCACCTCAGCCCCTTAAGAAATCACAAAAATGTCAGTTATTAGAATATCACACAAAAAGAAGTGGCTCCTACTTAGTAGTCCTTCTAATGTGCAGCCCATAATGACAAGTAGTTACTAGCTAAAGATGCTCCTTTAATTCTCCTTTAGTCCTGTCAGCTGAAACAACCAGGTAAATGCTTACTTGACCACAGCAGAGTCGTGGTACTGGGGACTGCAGGAGAGCTGTATGAAGACAGCTGGGCTTGATAGGCGTCTTAAAGAAAGGAGTGATCCAGCCAATGTGCTGGGCTCGTAAGAGAAGCCTGGTGACCTTCATGGTAAAATATCATTCCTTCTGTGGAGAAAATGCAATTCCAATTTTGCACAGCAGAGGCAAAACAGCAGGAGATATTAGTTTACTTCAGTTCACAATTATTATGACTATCAGGTCATTTTTAACCAAAGTTATCTAGTTCATTCATATAATTACTTATTGTTACACAGCTATAACATACAGACATAAACAGTTACCTTGTGATTATGTAGTTATAGGTAATACATAGCTATAATATATAAATATACCTAATTAACTCTTGTCATTACAAAGTCATGAAGGCTATAGTATTGCACTGAGTTAACTCGTTAACTTGTAAGTGACCATTTAGTTATATTTAACATAAAGCTAAAAAATTAGATAGATACAGACAGTTAGTTCACACAAAATTATGTAGTTATAGTTAATATACTGCTATGGCATTACATGGATGCAGACAGTAACACATATACACTGATCAGCCTTAACATTAAAACCAACTCTTTGTTTCTACACTGATTGTCCATTTTCTCAGCTCCACTGACCATATAGTTTGTAGTTCTACAGTTACAGACTGTAGTCCATCTGTTTCTCTGCATACTTTGTTAGCCCCCTTTTCACCTTGCTCTTCATGGTCAGGACCACCACAGAGCAGGTATTTGGGTGGTGGATCATTCTCAGTACTGCAGTGACACTGACGTGGTGGTGGTGTGTTAGTGTGTGTTGTCCTTGTACGAGTGGATCAGACACAGCAGTGCTGCTGGAGTTTATAAACGCAGTGTCCACTTATTGTCCACTCTATTAGACACTCCTACCTTAATGGTCCACATTAGATAATACCTGCTCTGTGGTGCTCCTGATTATTGAAGAACAGGGAGAAAGGGGGCTAAGGAAGTATGCAAAAAAACAGATGAACTACAGTCTGTAATTGTAGAACTACAACTGCACCTATATAGTAAGTGGAGCTGATTAAATGGACAATGAGTGTAGAAACAAGGAGGTAGTTTTAATGTTGTGGCTGATCAATCTATAACCATCCAGTTACAGTTACTCTATAACTATGGTATTACACAGATGGAGCTAACTCTAGTCAACTGTAATTGAATCAATACAGTTCACGGGTGGCTAAATCTCCACCTGTTTTCCGATCTTTCTGAGGTGAACAGTGTGGACAGCAGGTTCTGTTATTTAAACAGCTGATTAAATCTGACTGCAGGACACGAGTGGAGCAGAACCGGTGACACAAGAACCTAACACACATAAAAACAATGAGTATGTAACTTTATTTACCATTGTCACACCGGATTAACACGTGCCCTCTTGTGTGGTTTGAAGTCAGTCCTCTCCGTCCAGAACATCAGTGTAATAACTGTAATATGTCACCCTTCAGCGCTCAGATCTCCTTCAAGCCAAACACACCGCCATAACCTCCTACTTCAGTCCGTCATCTTCCTCCCGTCCCTCCTCGCTGATTAGAAACATTTGCTCTCTCTTTATGGTTCCGACGTGTTGGTTCCGCACCATACCTTCCCCCTGTTCACCCCCGAGCAGCAGTAAATGTTTCTGTTATATTTTTTACGCCTTGCTGTTCTAGTTACAGGACGGTAACAGAACCTTATCTAGATTAATGACTTTAATGAGACTGAACCTTTTCACTAAGCCAGTGAACGGATTAATACCGATAACAATCTGTGTAATGAATGTGAAAATGTCTGTTGGAAACACGTGTGTTCATACTTATCTTACTTCATATCATATTCAGGAACACGTAATAAACTTTTTTTTAATTTTTCTTATCACCAAATACTTCAAACATAACTAGCGTACAAAACTGTTCCAAAATGTACCATTTTGTAGAAATTTAATTTATACATAAACCTCTTAACTTATAATAAGAAAATATCATTTTTGGAATAATATATATGTGTGTGTGTGTGTGTGTGTGTGTGTGTGTGTGTGTGTGTGTGTGTGTGTGTTCAGTAGCTGTAATGTTAACGTCCTACGACCCAAACCTGTTTGCTGTAGAAAAACAAAAACATACTGGTATGTGATCGTTGCTTTTAAATGTAATACCTCATCCTACTTTCTGAGAACTGCAGTAAATACTGCATGAATGGCTGGAAACGTTTAATTTGACATTTTCGCCGTTTCGCTCCATTCACTCCCGTTCATTGAAGACTCTCTGTTTGGCGCCCTCTAGTGTTTGCGGTGTAATGGGAGAAATAGGAAGTGGTCGGACTCCCTCTGGACTGGCTGCTGTTCGCACCATCGCCGCAAGGTGGCGCAGGGACGGTTTATCAGTTCTCATAAGTTCTGGTCTGTTTTTTGGGTTGGACAGCGGCGCTGTGGCGCCCCTCTTTATCGCGCGTCTCTTCGGCAGGGCAGCAGTAGTTTAGATGAGTGTCAGAAAGACAGCTGGATTAAGAAAGAGAGAGGGTGTGAGTGTGAACCGAGCTCCTGCATGAAAACCATCCAGACTCGCTCCTCGCCGTCGTGCACTTGCTCGCCTCCGCGGCCGCCGCGCAGCTCATTTCCTGGGTCGGGCAGTTTGGAGTGGACTCGCTTCTCCGCTCCACACACGTGTGTGGTTTTTCTTCTCCTCCAAAGCGCTGCTGACCACGGCTCTGAGACTCTGAGGGGGCTGGACTGGACTAGTACGGACTCTTCACCTCTCGGCACCATGAGCTCCTTCCAAGAGGTGTGAACAGCGAATCTCTCTCCAGCAACATGGATGGATCGACGAACAGCCTCGGTGAGTCTGACTGGCCGTCCGTCTGCCCCGTCCACTCCGAGCAGACAGGATTTTTATCTGCCTGTGAAGCTGTCAGTGTTGTTCGCACTTCTGCTCACACCAGCCGCCCACAGCAGCCTCTGGTGAAAACTTTGTGAAAGTCTGAGCTCTGCATCCGTGTAAAATCTCAGTCGTTACGAAATTTGAACCTGTTATTTTTTCCTGACGTCTGACTGGGTGTGTTTGAAATGGCAGTTTGCACGGTTTGTAGTTTTTGGCCGTTGGTGTTCAGGAGTATAGACGCTCGTGGGCTCATCTAGAGGTGGGCGATATAGCAGAAGTCTAATATCGCGATACTTCAGGACATTCTCACGATAAACGATATGTGACGATATTTGTTCTTCAGACATCTGATCAGTCGGAAGAGAGAAAATGAAAAACAGTGGTACTACATTTCAAAAATACTATCAAAACACATGAATACAGTGATTATTATTTAATATTTCGCATACTGTGTTGCACTAAATCCAGTTAAACAGGACTAATTTTGAGCTCTTTATAATGAAAACAGGAAGTTGGTCAGTTTTCTACAAGTACTGGTGAAATCCACAAAACATTCAGAAAAACATATTGTATTGTATTGTGACATAATTTATCATGATAGTGATATATATATAGTCATATTGCCCAGCCCTAGGCTCAGCGTTGTCTTATTTTGTGGCTTGTTTACCTTTCTTTACTGTAAACCTTGTTTATTTCGCCATGAAAAGGAAACAGTGCGGCTCAGCGTCAGTCTCCAGCTGTCATTGTTGTGGTTTGGTTATCAGACATTTCAGCTGTGAGTGTGTTTTGTTTACTTGACAGTTTGGTCAGTCAGTTTAGAAACTGAATTACTGTGATTACTATAGTAAGTAACTTATTTGGACATTTATGCCATACCTAAAATGTGTTAGCGCGTTTTGTTAGAAAGAAAAAGTCAAATTAAGTGTCATTTATTTCAGACAGACCCATACAAAACTGTTGTTTCTTTACGACAGTGTATTCTTTTGAAAGGCAGCTGGTATGTCTCAGATTCTTATCGTTTTGAGCAGTTTCTTTGCAGATTTCTGCAGGTTTGCATCCAAACTGTCTTTGCACACTTCTCAGTTTTCATGATGAACACAAGCTCACCGACACCACTGTACGAAAAACAGCCTCAGACATTTCTTTACAATACTCTCAGTGCAGTCTGGTTGAAATTCTTTCCCAGGCTTTCTCTACACAAAGAGCCTAACATTAGTTTGGTGTATGGCTGAACAATTTGGGGGAAATATCTTATTGCGATTTTTCTGACCAGTATGACCATTACGGTTTAAATGTAATTAGTAATTCTATAATAATGTAATTAATAATTCTATAAATTAAGCGCCAATGTTTTTTTTTTTTTCAAGATCGGCACATCACGTCCAGTTCATGAATTCTGAGTTATTTGATAAAATTTTTCAAAACTTTAAACTAAGTTTAAACTAAAGCGGGACGTAATAGAACACTGCAGCTCTTGCTGTTTGAAAATGACACCCTTTCACATTACAGTTTTGATAGTCAGAGGAGTAATTGTTCAGCCCTAGTTTGATGTTGTGCTAAAAGTGTCTTTCTCTAAAAAAATACTGTTTTGTTTAACACTTTCTGAAGTAACATAAACACGTTCACTATCATTAACCAATCGGTAAATGGCTAAACTGATTAAGATTTGAGGATTTGGAGACCTCTCTGGTGGAAATGTGTCATTGCAAGCAATGTGCAGAAGAAGATTTTGTAACATTGGTTGTGTTTCGGGTCCCTTCCCCACGTGGATGAGTCTGATGATTGTGAACAAGTTGACTGAGTATTTAAAGAGAACGCTTTGAAAGACGTGTCTTAAAAGGATGTAAGTGAACGAGCTGCTATTGTCATCATATCTTCATTAGTATTATGTGGAATTTGCCTTTGAGACCTAATCATTGAGCTGGAGCTTCTTTTTCAGCCTGTGGCGTTAATATATAAAGACTTATGATGCGATGTAAAAAAAAATTCGACCTGTATCTCTGACTTTTAAATTATTATTTCAGGCTACCTCTTTCAATTTTAGCCAAAAAATCTCACATAATGCAGCTATAAAGTCACCAAATTCAGTTTGGGCCCACTGTGTGTGTTTACCATATTAGGTGCTATGTTGTATCTCATATCACTTAGGTCAGTAGCAGTAAAGGGATAGAATTGCCAAACGGAAAACTCCTGAAAAAGTCCACATTTGCATGTTCTCAATTGTGGGCATATCGGCTCATCTGCTCTGCAATACCCTGCACTACCACCCACTTTGCTTTTTAGAGACACTGATGATCCTGTTTCCTGTTACATAGGTTTTTATTGGTGTGTGTGCACTACTGTATAGCATACTGAAACCATTGTGGGGAGCCGTCGTGTTGGCTTTCATTTTGTTTACCGCCTTGTAAACTGCTGGAGCTCTCAGGCTTTGAGGAGCAATAAATATCACATGGAGGAAACCCTCAGGCATCTACTGGCAAGTTGAACGTCCGTTCTGCGTTCTCGATGAAGTGTTAATGCATCCCAGCTTTTGCTGTAGTGGCTCGCTGATGGTCTAGCAGCAGAACATACTTGTAGTCTGGATTGAATCGAAAGAGATCATTGTCAAAATCTTTATTATGGCGCCTGTCGTTTCTCAAAGTGATCCAGCTTGAGGCTCAGTTTGTTTCCAGACAGCCTGCTGAAAGTCTTATTGTGGAGAAAGTGAGTCAGCAGCAAGAAATTGTTCAAGTTGAAGGAAGAGTAAATACCCTGTGTGTCCAGAAGTTTGTGGACACCTGCTTGTTCAGTGTTTCTTCTGATATCAAGTGTATTGATAGAGAATTTGCTCCCCTTTGCTGCGGTAACGGTCTCTATTCTTCTGTTTAGTCTTTACACTAAATGGTAGAAGATTGTTGTAAGGATTTGATTGCATTAGTGAGCTCAGGTGTTGATGTTTGATGGTTGCATCTGGATCAAAAACTACATTTATAATTAAAACTTCAGTACCTGAGCTCACTAATGCTCTTATGCCTGAATGCAATCAAATACCCCAGCAATGTTCCAACATCAAGTGTATCCTGAGATACACTAGATGGTGGGTGGTGCTCCATCAATCCATAGAACTCAGTTCCACTGCACCACAGCACAGAGGAGCTTTAAACTCCTCAAGCCAACACTAGGCTTTTGGCTCTTGCACAGCTGCACCAGAGCATCCCATTCTACTGGTCTGTGCTTTTCTATGGAGATTATACAAGCTGCATGTGTGCAACTGATCAACTGTGTCACCAACAAGTGCAACTAGTAGCTGAACTCACTAATTAGTAGAGGTATCTGGATACTTTTGGACATATTGTGCACACGAGGCTTTGCTGAAGGCTTAGACTGGATGTTCCCACTATTGTAGTGCTTGTTTGGTTGTAAATGGCGATATTACGTTTGGAAGAGGGAACATGTTAATTCAAAGTTATTAAAATTTAACTAAATATTGACTTGATTTAAGGAAGATGGAACAATAAACAGGAAGAATTTAAAGAGGGAGTTTTCCATGAAAGTTTACTTTTCTCTTATCAGATAGCGTGAAAGCTTCACTTCATATAAAGCAAACAAATCACTCATTTTGCATAGGTTTCCACTGCCTTTTTATTATACTGACATTTCCTTTTTGGCTTGTATAATTAATCATTTGCATATTGAACATAGTACTTAGCAGCCTGGCAGCTCGCAAGCATTCCTCTCCTACTGCTTTCTGACTTCTAATCTGCAACACGTTTTGGATGAACAGTCTCTTCAGTTGAGCACAACAAAAAGTGCCTAGATGACACTTGCATTCATCTCATCCCAGCCATTTGGGATGAGATGAATGCAAAGTCTTAGATGTAGTAAGTTTGGATCGCAGTCTCATTTACACTTTAAAGTAAAGGTGCCAAAAAGGGTTCTTTGAAGCAGTGTCACAGAAGAGACGTTTTTGGTTCCTTGAAGAATCTCGAGAACCCCATGAATGGTTCTCTAAAGATTTGTTTCTGTAAATGAAATGCATAAGTGTGAAGAACTTTTTTTGAAGTTTAAAGAACCTCCACATAATGTAAAGGTTCTATACCAGTTAAAGGTTTTTCATGGAACTGCACCATCCAAGCTGAGAACCATTTAGGAACCTTTATTTTTAAGAGTGCAGCCACAGTTGCCTTTGACGTTTTTCCTAGTTATTGTGCAATTATTGTACAGTTCACTCAGATGAAAAGATAAAAAGATGTAGAAAGAATGTATAGATGTCTTCATTTAGAAATGATGTATGAATGGGTTGTCTTGATGCTTGAATTTTAACTTTGATACTCAAGGATAGACAAGTTTAAACATTTGCATTGGCCTCAACACCATTAAATCTTGTGGCCAAAATTACAAATTTGTAGCAAGAATGATAGAAACATGTTTGTCGTAAATATATAGTATTTACATGTAATGAACAACCAGACAACCAAAAACTACTCAGGTGATACTTTGAAAAGGAAATGTTTATTAAAAAGGTTACATTAATAAGAACACTGCGGTGACGTTAGCTATGAGGGTGTTTCTCATTTGATACAATTGGTTTAACTTGTGACCAAACAGGCTCTGGATCATGGCGGATAGTGGGTGTTTTTGAATGGTGTGAAAATTCAGCTGGGTTTCACAAGAACGTCTTAGCACAAAGATGATTAGTAAATGATAGAGCGAGCATGACACTGAACACTGTCTCTACCAGTTACGAAGATCTTAGCACTAAGAAGAAAAGAAGAAGAAAGGCAAAAAAAACAAAACAAGAAACAATCTTAAAGGCAAGTGGCCACTCAGCCTACAGGCTCTGCATTTTAGTGGACAAATGTAAAGTGTTGTAGCCAGGGGCACCGTGCAGTAGTTAATGTCAACCATGTTTGATACCAACACCAAGTGCAGGATCACAGTGCATGTTTTCCCTGAACACCCAGTGTTTATTGGATTCA